GAGAGAGAGAGAGAGAGAGGGAGTGGTATAGAAGGTGGCAGAGAGGGAGAGAGGCCCGATTGCATCGTTACGCAGCGCAACCTGTAACAAGGTGCACAGCGAGTTATTGTTCTTTACAGTGGTTTAACTTTGAGCAGGATATGTTTTACGCATGGAACGATATATCACGGAGCAGCTGGTATGCACTCTGTGAAAATTATAAGTGTGCATTCATAGTACGATCATTAATCAAATTGTTGCTATTATTGTTTCAGTATCTACAGGGCGTTCCTCGCCAAGCGTGCTCCCTTTGAGCCGCAGATTCTCCGGGCAGTTTCGAGTGGGTTTTTCCTCAGCGAAAATGCCGAGAAAGATTACATCGTTTATTGTAATTTTTCCCATTTTCAACATTACGTACATTTTTGTGTAGTTAAATTAAAGTCTTATCATAACAAGTTTGAATTAACTCAAGAATATTATTTTATTATTTATTTGATGCTTCAAAGTTTAGTTTCAAAAAAATATATCCACTTCTTGTGACTTTATTTTCTTTTAATTTTGGATATCTCGACATTCTTGTAAAGAAAAAAAATCAACTCAAAACTGATGATGGAAATCGCCAGATCGTTCAAAGGCAGTGCGCTAAGCGCGAGGAACACCGTGTAATAATATAATATCGACAGAGATGACTACTGCGTATGGTGATAAAAAGATATAAACGAAGTCTATGACAAAAAAAAAGACGTAAAGTAGCGTAATATATTAGACGTTTAAATGTGCAATCGCTGTTTCATGTTTATGTCTAATCTAAACGATGTTAATTTAGAAGAGATTAGATATTACAAATAGACATTCCTCGAGTCTCGCGTATGGGGACACCGCATTCCACTGCTTGCGAGAAAATAACGAAGCTGATAAACGAGGCCAAAGTTTAGAAAAGTACGAGTCACTAATCAAAACGTTCCATCCTAAACGGCACACATTTTTGCAATTCAAATAATACGAGTTTTAACATCGCACACATACGAGCGCAAAAGCAATTCTGCTAACGCACGCTCTACGATTCTCTGAGAAAACGAAAAACGTACCATCGTGTTTTTATCATGCCAAGCGAATATGCAATTGGGCCTGCGAGTCTCATTTAAGTTTCAGCATAACTCCATTGCATTTCACGATCTTTTTTCACATTTTAGCAATCATCGGCACATATTATTAAATACGCAGCGAAATTCTACTCGGAATTGTTCTACACAGTAACACGATATTAACTGTTTCCTCTGGTTTTTTTTCCTCCCTTTTTCTAATTTAGAGTAGCTTAGTCGGCAATCTAATGTCTCAGTGTTGCAAACGCTATATGGTACCTAACAGATACACCACTGATCATAAGATAAGGAAAAAATCTCTCATTCACATATGTAAAGAACACAAGATGCACTATTGTAAATAGGACGACGTACAATTTCGAGGAGAAGTCCAATTATCTCGATAAGAAAATCAATAATGTGTATTTAGTGTACCTTCAATGTTTCACAAACACCGCTGTAAACAAATCTGTACGTATGCGCACCGAACACACGCAGAGGGCAAAAGCAAGAAAACAAAAAAAAAAAAGGTTTCAAGACTGAAAATTCAGAAACGATATTGAATCGCACGTTACAATGAGTTGATTTCACGCGAATCGAGGATATCGTTTCCCCCAACGAGACAACGTGTTTTTAGAATAGAATATATTTTTGTAATCCTTTGCGACGCATCGATGCGGCACACGTTGCATTTTGCGCGTACGCGTGAAGTGGTGTGCGTATCGATGTGTCGGTCGAAAATGCCAAAAGACGATGCACAAATCTTACGCTCTTTCTTCGGGGTACCTGAACTTTTCTAGATTTAACGGCGACGCGTCCACGCGGCGCGGAGTCTCTCGGTGACGTCACAACCACGAAACAAATCGCCGCGATGTTCCCGCGAGCCTTCCGCGCTTCGCGGACGAATCGCAAATCGCTTATTTGATGGCTGCCACGCCGTTCGCGCGTACATCGACCCGAGGGGGGTCTTTTTAATCGTTCTTCCTTCCGTGCCGGCTGTGCGCGTACGTACAAAATAGACGAATCGAACACGGTACAACTTGATGGCGGACGGTAGTCTTTACGCGATGCTCTTTACATATATAGCTAAACTAATTGTTCATGCCGCACATTCTAGACATTTTCGTTTCCAGTGTTAACTTGTTGGTGCTGCTGTTGACGAGGCATTAAGAGCATGGAACTGTTGAGTAGTGCCTCCTAGCACGTTGAGCCCTTAGCGCTCCTGTGCCTTGCTTGCTTGAAACTCTAGCTGCTAGCCCAAGCCTAGGCTAGCCGAGAAGTCGGCCGACAGAAACAAATTCCGACGCTTGAGTTAACGAAACGTTTCTCGGGGGAGATGCACTTGGCAGTGACGTGGGGGATATGATTAAGCGCAGCGTGTCGCGTTGCGTTCTTTCCCTTCTAAAAGAAAACTACCGGATTTCGGACCATCATTCTCACGTATGTCAACAAATTATATATATAGAATGTGCTATATACGATAAATATAGTATGGCAAAATATGCGATATCATATTCGACACGAATCTTATATATATATATATTGTTCTTACGAAGTATCCCAATGTCACTGCGAATTGACAACGTTTCGTGGTTTCGCTAAATGTTTATATCATGGAGGTACAAGCGTTTAAAATAAGGCAGAAAGTTGGGATATCGTATGCGAAGAGTGCATTGCAGTTTAATATTTTTTTTTCTTCTTTCTTCCTTTTCTAATCTTTCGTCTCTCGTCCGCAAGTTAATGCGAGTAAATGTCGATAATGAACATAGTAGGTGTACATACGATGATATTAGATATTTTCATAAAACATATTTTAGATGCTTGTATCATAACTCGGAATACTCACGCGATGTTTCGTCCATTCCAGAATGGAAATGTTTAACGACAAGAATCCGCTGTACTTTTCGCCATATCTTTTTCGCTGTTTTATTACCGCGTTCGAATTTTTTCGACATTTTTGTGAAAGTCTCTTTATACGTACAGAGTTGCTGAATCGTAACGACTTTACGTAAGATCGATTTTAGTGGCATTTTTCGAGGAATGTACGCGTTAAGTACGCCAACGAGCTGATTGCATCAGCGATTACAAAACTGTATATTTTTCTGCGAGAAAATATTTCGTTTCAAGTGTTATCGGCGAGAAAGATGAACAGAAAAGGTACACAGGATGAAATCCTGTAACTTGAATCTCATATTATACAGTATGATTTTTGACTTCGTCCTGATATATGCTTCTAGCCTTGTATTCTCTTTATGTACCTGGTTAAAAATCGTCGATTATAATCGTCAGATGTAGATATCTGAGAAATATATATGGAAAAAAAGAAAAAAAAAAAGAAAACGGCGCGTCACTGCTGATAGCATAGATCGGGAGGAGCATTTTTTACATATACATACATTTTGAGTATATCACGAAGTCGAGAGCTGTTAAGCATTTATATTGAAAGTTAATTCTTGTTTTCTTTATCTTTGTTCTGTCGATTGCCGTGTATGATGAAAATGTGCTGCACATCACTCTGTTCCTAATAGAGGAATAGCAATCAAACCTCCTTTTACCTCTGACATGAGCATTGAACTTAAAAATATGTATAGATCAAAAGAATATTTTATCATACATACTTACGAATCGTCTCATGCAATATATAATTAAATATAATTCGAGCTATATAAATTATGCGTCAGCGAGCGCATAAGCACAATATATAAATCGGACAGACAGATTGGAGGATTGAAATATTCTCATTGAATCGTTAGCTGATAGTTTATGATTATTATGTATAGTAAAATGCTTGTGTTTTCACAATGTGCAGTTTAATTTAGAAATCAAGAACACGTTTTTTGCATGCAATGTGCACCACAAATATTTATATTTATTTCTGAACGTTCGCATAGTAATGTCCGTCAAGTCCGTATCTTAAAATAATGTAAAGGTTCTTTTTATTGCAATCCGATCCCTGCGTGAAACAGAGAGGTGTCTTTTCTAAGTTACTTCCCGCTTGGTGCAAGAGAGAATGATTTAAAACGTCAAAATGCCTTTTGTTGATTGAAAACAATGTAGAGGATGCATCAACCCATATTTGTGTTTGGTAATTAATGCAGTATTTTGGTTAAAAGGGATAAATTGCAATACAGATAACCTGATTCTAATAATACTGTCTAATATATAGTTCCATAATATTGAATGTATAAATTTCAGAAAAGCTGTTTAAAAATCAAGATAAAATATCAGTGTAAAAAATATGGAGCCTAAAAGGCGTCAGCTTAGAAATCTCATGTAGAATTTGTGGAAATTGAATCAAGATTAATGTGACAGATTGATGTGTTTAACTCTGGATAAAATTGCGATAAAATAACGAATAAAAACTGTAGTCGTATATGCTATGATATTATAATAGTTTCGCGTATAAAATGAATATATAATAACAACATCTATATTATACAAGTATCTTTTTACTAAAGATACGAATAAGCTATTGCAAAAAAAAAAAAAAATTATTTTTGAAAGATTATGCGAGATGTTAAAATGATAAGATTACTTGAACAAATGACAAAACAACACAAACACGGCCAAGAATGCATGATATTGCTTAGTTTAAGTTGAAAATTTAAGAGTTTTAGTAGATATTTAGTTTCGTTTCGATTCGCAGTTACGAATTATCATGGAATAGGTGTATCAAGATGTATTCAAATTTTATATACAGAGACTGATACCTGACCTAAAAGTGTATATATTTGAGATGCGATTATTGAGATATACAGTTGTATTCCAATACATTATTATATTAACTATGAGTACTGTACAATTGCATATATTAAGAATATAGTACGATTGATTTTTGTTAAAAGTATTACATGTTTTTTGTATAAAAAGCTGTACACACAGAACCAAAATAAAAATTTTATATTATTCATAAATGCCAGATAAAATGTGTAACACGGATTGTTTTATTCTGTCGATTCACTTCCAGTAACTTTCAGATTCGGGAAACAATTAGGCATCAAGAATCAATCGATTCGATTAAAGAACAGGCAGACGCAACGTAATTTAAATAGAATTTATATTCTTTGTACATTAAGAGATGCAAAGGTGTTTACAAATCTAGTTTTGTCAGTTAGACGTGTCTCGAGCAAGACACTGCGCCTCGAAGTATAATGTGTGAAAAACGATACTTATCTAAATCTAATATTTGCGAATATTTTTACACTTGCACTCTCGCTACTAAAAAAGTCTTTTTATTTACATCAATGTCATATATCTCACTATCTCGCTATTCATATTAATTCTAACCTATTCAGACATTGTAAAAAGTTACAGATTTATGCCAATAACAGGTTTGTACTTGTATATAAGATAATCTTTCAGCAAAGAGAATATTATTTTATATTGAATGGCGTGTAAAAGGAATCGTCATTGGCAAGTACAGCACAACGTAGCGATTCCCTATTAAATTTTTCGTATGAAACAACAATTTACATTCGTTTCGGCACGCCAGTGACGTGGAATTTATCGGCTGCGATGTTGAAATATACGAAATGTATCCGCAATAGCAATCAGGCATGACTTTGTCTATGGAACAATGGTAGTTTTTTTTTCCGAACTATTCATTCTTTGTCGAACGCAACAAATGCGTAGGTCTTTCTCTCCTAAAGTACCCCGTGAAATTGCAAATCTTCTCGTGTTGGAACAACGCGCGCAACTCGCGCGCTCTCCGAATCGAGAAGTTTACATTCTTAGTTCATCCACGTGGGATGATTCGGCAGACAAAGGGGATTAGGAGAGTAAAGCAAGTCCTATTGAGGCGGTCCGCCCATCATGCCCATCGGTGGCATGCCTTGGATCCCGTACGGTCCCTGCGGCGGCCCCTGACCGCCGGCCATAGGCGAATGCATCTGCATCGCCGTGTTCTGAATCTGCTGCTGCGTGGGTGCCACCTGATTGCCAGCGGGGGATCCCACAACCTGTTGCGATTATAATCAAGTTACATATTTTCCCTGTCAGGACTTTTCCAACGGCACTGCCGTAGCAAAAGCGAGGCGCTAACGTGCGAAAAGAATTAAATTTGTTCCAACGCGTGATATATATATAAAAAAAGAAAACTTCTCACTTCCGCGCTCTTACCTGCGGTATCACCGGTTCCGACGGTAGCGTGAAATTAGCCAGAAGATCCCTCACAGCCGGGAACAGCGAGCACTCCGATTGATTCACACCGCCGTATTCGGCGAATCTCTTCAGCTGCATGGACGCTCCCGTCATCGCCGGCGGTGGCGGACTGAGATCTCTCCTTTCCGCCAGTTGCGTTAAATTCGTAGTAACGTCGTAGACGAGCGGCAATACCAGGGACGGCGTCTCGCCTTGGTACGACATGCCTATTCTCGTTACTAGCAGCTGCGAGAAACACGCGGGAATCGTTTAAGCTCTCGCGACAGATTCGAGTCTACGCGCGGATAACGGCGGGCGCGAAATTGTACTCACGAAAAATAAAATCTTGCTCCTACACACGTGCACCCCTTCCGTGCCGGGCGGCACGATCGGCCCGGCGGAGGGCGGGATACGCAGGCACATCTGCACGGACCACTTCAACTGCTGCTGCTGCACAAGACCGGGCACCAGCTCCAGCTTCATTATCTGCACGAAGTCCTTCAGCACTTTGAATCGTACGTTGAGCATTTTTCCGAAGCCGTTTAGCGTGTTGTGCTTGAAGGGCGGGGCGGCCACTCGCGTGTCGAAGAACTTCTCTATAATCTGCGACACACAACGGGAGAATTATACTCGCGTGCGAACGTGTAACTTGAATACAATTGCGTCTCGCCGACGCGAGATATCCGCGATTGATCACCTGCAGCTCTTCCAGGCTCCATTGATCTTTGTATTCCGGAAGTGGCTGGACTTTGATGTGCAGAGACTGGAAGTACTGCTGATTCAGTCCGACTCTGCATTGCAGGCTTTCGACCTTGAAATGCACTATGCCGTGCTCCGTGGTGTTGATGCTAGTCAACTGTAACGATTCACATACACGTTTCAGTTTATGTAGAATATTTTTTTCTCTTTGCGTTAGTTCTGTAATTTTTTTCGTCGGGCATAGAATTGCAAGTTTATACGCGACAAGTTTCTCTTACGCATTCGTCCGACTGGATGATGCGCTGCAGTTGCCGGCGCATGTAGACGCAGCCGAGGAATCTCTCGAGCGGCGACATGTCCGGACCCGGCAGGCCGGACGGATGGGGGGACGGGCAGCAGAGCGATTCAAGGGCCTCCTGCGTGAGGAGCGTCGGCACGGCGCCCGCCCAGGACCTCGGCGGCAGCACTCTGGGCATGTGGCTGCCAATCTTGTGATCGGACGCCTGCGGACTGTGTAGCGCCGCGTGTCCCGGACTCTGCCCGGGCCTCGCGGGGGACGGCCTCGGCACACTCGGGGATCCAGGCCAGTTGGAGGCGGCGGGGGAGGCCATACTTTGCGAGGACGGGAAAGGGCTGCCGTCGATGTGACCTGAATGTTATTATTGGAAGCGAACGTTCGTCATTGAATTTATCTCGTAAGAATGGGTTCATCTCGTTGGCTTTTACATCGAAACGACAAGCGTCACTTTAGTGAAACAATGACACGAGTTTTCAATCGTCTTGCAGCTCTGATGCTCGCTGTGTTCGAATGTCGGTATCGACAACGTGAAAGTCAATTGGATGAAACCATTCTGACTTCTCGCACGCTAATGTATATGATAAAGCATTACCGCACCTGTTTGCATAAACGAGCTAGCGGGAGAATGTCCCACTTGAACGTTGCTGCAAGGTCCAGGCGACGATGTCGGCATGAGACCAGCCGGACTAGGAACATGCATCGGATTCAAAGGACTATTCGCGACAAGTCCTGATCCAGGCGACGGGTGCGGTAGCATGTTAGGGGTATTCGGCGGCAACGACGGCGGAGATGCTAGATTAAACGAGGCCGCGGGACTGCTTCCGAAACTTTGATGTTGACTGGCCTGATAAAAAAATTTTTACAATTGGTTAAATCATTTCCAGAGTGATAAATATCTGCTACAAATTAAAATTCAATATTTGCGATTAATTAAAAAATAAATATTAAAATTGCCATTATTTTTGAATTCTTTCTATTGAAACCGATGAAAAAAGAAAATAAAATTTGAATTTGTGTCAGAAATTATGTCTTAACTGGACAATTTATACCTGAGATATATTTGCGGTATGAGGACTAGCCGGTGTGTGAGGATTACTGCCGGACGGCGGTGTGAGCGGCGGATGGAATCTCAAACCTTCGCGTTGTTGCGCGGGCGATTGCGGTCCGCTTCTGTGATGGCCGAGGAAGCCCACATTGCCTCCGCCGCCGTCGCTGTCCATAGGCATCGGCGACGGTGGATTATCGTCCTCCGACTGCGATCTCCTTCTGTACACCGCGTTCTCGTCGACGTATTTCGACAGAAACGCCTGCAACGTTGCAAATCCCGTTTTGAGCGCTCCGTCGATCAAAGGCAACGATAAGAAGCTTCGTTTCTCACCTTCAGACCCTGCGTGGGCGTGAATTCGTCGACGACGTTGCTTCTGTCGAAACGGCTGAAAGCGCCGTCGCGCAAACTTACCAGGCCGCCGCCGCGTAAGCGCAACTCCAAACAATACATCCCTTGATACGCGATCCTCACTAACGTCACGCATTGCGGCATTATAGTAAACGTTTGCACCGGCACACGGGGTCTCTGCGGGGAGGAATTAGGACGTGAGTCTGGACCGAAAGGAGGCAAGTGTGCGCGTGCACTTACCGCATGCACGCACAACTGCGGAATCGATGGCAATTTGCTGATCGACGTGAGCGGCTGAAGCGTTTCGTTAAGTATGTGAATGATTTGCGCCAGATTCGTGTGTCTGTTCAAGTGGGCTTCCAGTTGCTCTTTCATTATGGAATGCGCATTGGTCACTGTATTCGTCGGACCTGCAAGTTTTTTTTTTATTATTACTATAATACAGAACTGGGCAAAATACGTCATTAAGTATTTGAAATACAAAATATAAAATACTATCAATCTTCTCTATCAAATACAAAATATAAAATATCATCAATCTTCTATCAAAATAACTAAGATTGACTGTATTTTGTATTTCAAATACTTTTTGCCCAGCCCTGACTACATAGTTGCGTTAATCAAATCGATATCTAGATCGTTTGTCAATGCAAAAAAAAAACTTACTCCTGCCAAATACCATCTTAAACGCTTTGTCGTTTATGCTCCATTGTATGGTGACAATGGCGCCTTGATTCGGGCCATACGCGAGGACCAGTTTGCTATAACTGAAGGATTTAATGCTGACTATGTTGCGCAAGTTGTACTTCTCTGTAAAACAGATTACAATATGTATTTAACACACGATACAAAATTGCATGAGGCTCCTACTTCTCACTTCAGCCATGTTGAATTACAAACCGCGGAAGCAATAAATCATGAATTTTTTTCTCTTGAAAAAATTTATTTATCTCGACAAGAGAAAAGTCAACATGACTTCTCACTTCTGGTATTATAATTCAATATACAAGCAACGAGGAAGTTAAAAGCCATGTGAAATCGTAACATACCTATTTTGAAATACTCGGCTAAATCATGAACGATTGAATATAAATGTACTATTTGTGCCCAATCGTTCAACAAGGCGTCCACAGTGCGAGAGACGGTGTCGGCAGTTCCCATATCGTACTGAAAATAGACCGGTCTTCGCAAGCCTGCAAAGAAATTTGCATTTAATAACTTTGATTAAAAAAAAAAAAGAAGAAGAAAACGATCCGCTAATTTCGCACCTTGTTCCTTCGGATGACTACTGGACAGAGGACTGCCGTAAAATACAAACTCCACGGTCCAGGTCTTGGCCATGCCCTTGCCTTGAACTCTAATCGAAACGCTCAGAAGCCTTTTGAGAAGAGCGTGCCAAGCACTGCTCGTGGCGATGCTCGGTGACGGCGCGGGTAACTGAACGAGCTTGAGCACCAACGCCGTGGCGTTCGCTTCGACCTGGAGCCCCTGATGGGCTATCTCTCGTCTACTAAGCTGCAGATAATAATGATTAAATGAGGACGACGCGCAACGGAGAATCGATCAGAATGCAGAATTTCTCATTTCTTTCATCCCGTATCATCGAAATTTCGATCTTACTTCCTGAGCTAGAGTGACGAAAGGTATTCGCTCGTCGCACAGAGCGACGACGTGCGCCAATTCCGGAATGAAGTAAGCCGGATGCTTCGGTCTTCGGCTCTGCGACGCTCCCGCCGCGTCTGTCCTCCCTCCGACCCCGGTGCTTCTACGTTTGTTGCTCGTCGTCTCCACCACTTCTGTAATGCACCCCCCATCTTGATCATTATTCCCTAAAAAATCCACCCGTTAATCCCCCTAAAAGTAGCGAGAGTATGCCGGATACCACACTGAATGTTGCCAGATGTTAATTATTTATCTGTACACCGTGTTACAAGCACATGTCGATAAGACGAGCAATCGGATGTTAATAAGAATTAGTGAGAAAATCAGTTCATTTTTTCCAAAACGCAGGATAGATTGTAATATGAGAACATTGCATACAATTACACTAGTTCGATAGTTATGCCAATTATAAAACCAATTAATTAGACGTTTCTACCAAGTCTGTTCAAGTTTTTTTTTTTATAGTATCGCTATGAGAAATTGCAGTAAGTGATTGCGGATTGCTCGATTAACTTGAACAAACCTGGTTTGCATACAACATAGTAGAAGATTAAAAGCTGCTGAAGACTAGTAGAGAAATATTGGATACAAGATTACAGGATTGATAAAGCTATATTAAAGTACAAAATGTAAAACCACATAACATATACCTTCAGTTTTCATCTACGCATTTGCGCAGCCATGCTAATAGAGTATGTGATAACGAAACTTACATACGAACACATGCGTATTCATATAAGCGATTTAATAACGAATGAGGTTATAATTATTCTCCATCATTAATGTGAATTATTAACGTAACTATCGACTGAAATGTCTGAATTTTCAGAATGAAACTCTGTGGCATTAAACATACAAGAGGAAAAAAAGGTATCGGTATATATGTACTTCTCCTCATTTCGTGTTGTATAAAACATGCATGAACCACTCACCACTGTCGACACTAGTAAACGGGCCGTGTGTAATGACGAAGGTGTCAAACTCAATGAGGCTCTGGACCTTCAAATACATTTTCGGTATCTCCGTTTCTATGCTATCGTCGTGCGGATCGTCTTCGATGGAGCTGTGCTTCACTACAGCGAGATAGAAGGAGCACTCTATCTCACACGGCGAGCTTTCCTTCTCTTTAAACGCGACAATCTGGAATAAAACATGTTGCAAAGCGCATACATTTTTTTAGATGATCATTATATTTCTTTACAAACGTACCAGTATGACTGTGGGATGCCTATGCAACTGTACGAACATTCGATGCCTGCTAATTTTGGACATCGGATGATCCGGATGATGCAAGACGGGCAAACGTTCGTGAGAGGCAGCCGGTAAATGCTGTAACGTTTTCTCGCAGCGTCTTTGGGTTATCCAGAATCTGTAAAACGATCATGGATTAATTCGCTGCAAGAATATGCACGAGGGACGTCGCGGTGACGTACCTCAATTCGGATATAAGCGTCGGGAGACGCGAATGGTCTCCGTTCAAAGCCGTTGTTAATTCCGATACAAGAGGCGCGTCGTATTGAGGAACGTGGCACTGCAGCATACCGGTGTGAGTGTCGACTGTGATCAACAGAAGTTCGGCACGCAGGCACGGTTGTAATATTGGCACTGATAAAATAGCTGGAGACCCCGCCAAGGTACCTAAAAATATCATTACTTGCACATCTTTCCAACATCATTGAAATGTAAAAAACAAAAGGTTAAACTTACATTCAACGTCTTTCAGCATAGTTTGCAGCTCCTGCTTCAGTTCGGATAAACGGCTTCGCGTTCGAATGTAAATCGTGTGCACAAGCAAGCATTCCATCGATAACTGATCCGACCTGATGGCTCTGTGTGCTATTTCACTTTCCTGCATCATAATGTCGTGTTATTTCTATGACATTTGAAGAACAGGCGCGTTTATTTTTACCTTGCTGCCCAACGACGGAATGTGCACAACCGCGAGAGGCCTCGCGGGATCATGTTGGTCCACTTGAACAGTCAACTTGTACCCAAGTTCCGACCGTGGATCTTTGCTTGTTAATTCCCTGGAAAGATTTCGCGAGTGAGTGAAGGTTTCAGGTACATTCATTACCTTTTACTAAATTAATTTCTATAAAATGCATTATTATCACCTCCAATAAGATATAGACAGACATCTGCCAGTTGCATATTCATCCACATGAATATGCTCGTCTAATCTGTCCCGGATCAGCTTTAACGTCTGAGTATACAAGACTTCCAGCTGTAATGATTGGCAAAAGCAATGCAAGATGAAATACACCTCCGATAATGGATTGGTGCTGTCAGGCAATCGTGATTGGACAATCTGTCGCAGAAAGAAATTTTATCCTTACGATGCAGCTTGTAATTTATCAACCATCTTGATGCGATCAAAATATACCTGGTGTATGCATTGAGTCTGCAAGAAGTGTACCAATGCCTTTCCATCTCCGGTTTCTCTGTCCCAAACCAAAATTTCCAGTTCTAACAGTCTCCATGGAACCGCCGGCCCATCGCCCATAACTGTGAGGGACGCTGAAAATTCTTGCTCGACAAGAAACGTCACTCTTCCCGCTTCAATCTGTAAATAAGTTCAAATATATCATAGGCGAATCGAATCTAATGTGGCTGGTATTAATTGTGAATCTTCTATTAGATCTATTGATTTCTCTTTTTTTTTTTCAAAATAATCAAGATGCAACTCTCGATAGAATTCATATATTGCTAATTATTGTATATCTACCTTTAAATTACGCATTTGTGGCAGCAAATTTCCAGTGACTAATCGATGTTGAATGACTTGATTCAATCGGTGCAGTGTCGTTCTCTTTTCTGCAGGAGTGATAGGGTCTGGAGGGACAATTCTTTCCTGTTTAAACGGAATAGATATAATACTTTTTCTTGTACAATCAATATTTTTCTTCCATATAATATACTTACTCGAATGCAAGCAGGTAATCTACCGTATGTTCCAGTAGTAAGTACTTCCACAGCCGCAGGAATATGAAAATTTGGTAGTCTAGCATGCACCAAAGTTTCACGAGCCATCCTTGCCAGCATATCCGCAGTGTCGACAAAAAGCAACGATTGTTTATCCAAAAATGCCATAATATGCTAAAATGCAGAAGAACAAATTGTGGAAATGTATAGTTTAATTGTATAATAAGATGTGTATAAAAATATGTATCTTACTGTAGATTTATCCACTTTTGATGCACTATTTGCCCATTTTACTAACGCCAATAAACGAACATACAATTGTCTTGTTCGAACAGCAAAATTATAAATTTCTATTTTGCGTTCCATGTCAGTTTTACGAGGTAATCTATAAATAAGATAGAATCCAAAACTGAGCATATCATAAAACACATTTGGAAATATGCTTGTTAATATTTTATTTATTATACTTACAGTTCAGCGAGAACAGTTAGTTCGTGATACGTTCGTTGTATAATAAGGTCTGTAAGCACGCTCAAAGAAATGGATCCTCCACGATTACCTTCTTGAGGGATATTGTTCGTTACAGGAGTTTGATGGCCTTCTAATGGTACTGGTGCCATTTTGTTATTTTTTAATACTTTTCAATAAGAAATACCAATATCTTGCTCCAAGAGATGTATACCTATTAAAATATTTTTTCTATAATTTATAAAAATCATGTATTCATGTATTGACATTTCACAAATCTTTCATATAGCTAAGAATGACAGGAAAATTTTTATCTTTCAAAATTCAGCAAAAATACAGGTAAAGAATACTACAAATATATGTGACAAAAATCACGTATATTAATTGTCTTGTATAATAACTTGTAATTTTGGTATTCTTTCTGACTTTATATTTTATAATGCAGGAACAAATATATCCGTAAATTTAATCGAGACGTAAATACTGCCTTGTCACTAAAGTTTGTAATAATTTGATATTTCCATATTATTATTAAGAATTAATATATTGTGCTGTAAGAAAGCTAATTTTTTTTTGAACAATATACTAAAAATAATAATTGTATATTATACCTAATGTTTCCAAAATCTATTTAATTTCGAATTACAAGAATATTATTTATTAGTCAACAAGAAAACGTTCTCATTTTCATCAGTAAATACTTGCGAATAAATACCTGACTTTATTCTAACAACGCTGTGTGATAATCCACATGATACGAAAACGCTCTTGATAGTCTTTCCACTTTATAAAACCGTCTTATTTCTTGCCGTGACTTTCATGCATAATTCAAGCATTTAATTATCTCATATTTGATAACGATATTTTCTCATATTTAGATTTAATCATACGCACATTCAATAACCGAACTACATAGCACGATTGACGACACGTAGCGCGGACATCTTTACTTTCAAAAGTGCATCTAAACATATGCTACATGTACTAATTGCAAAATGTACTGCACTCGCTCCGTGTCGGCAATAACGGCGTTTACACGAATGTCTCATGCAAATAAATTGAGCAGTTATGCAATTTATGCGGATGCGCTTTTAGGTCTACCAATCAAATTCGTTTCTCGAACGGCCCGATTGTGATGCTTTTCGGAACACAGTTCACACTGCGAGCGCAATGGCCGCTCTTACTTGATAGTTGTACACGTTCGTCCGACACCTTTACTGAAGAATCCTACACATCTCACTGCATCTTTGCACTCTTCTGCTTCGAACAAGTTGTACTAACGTCTATTCGCGAACGCTTGTTAGAATTATCTATTAAACCTTAATCGATATTGATCTTACGTCGCCGCCACTGTCTCGCGTACAATTGTCCTGCGGGACAATGGCGGACGTGGAAGGAAAAAGGCTAACCGAGTTGCGGGTTATAGACCTCAAAACGGAGCTGGAACGTCGCGGCTTGGACAAATCAGGGAATAAAGCGGCTCTCCTCGAGCGGCTCTCGAAGGTAAGGAGCTCGCTTTCCTGCCGAACGCGTTCTCTGCGCGAACTCGACCGTGCGATTCACCCTCCAAGGGCGTCACAAAATTCGTCGCCATGTTAACCCTATCGATTCAGCAGCACATTTTTACTCGTTGCATGCCTTTTCTCGCGCTAATTGATATGGCGATGCTTGATTATCATATCGGCGTGATTAATTATTTTTATCGAGTTTATCTCTGAAACATGCGTAGCGAGGCACTTTCATTTTCTCTAATGTGGTCGATAGAATGTAAAGCAGAGCGATATGCGAGAAGTACGTGTAAATGTGAAAACTTTCCTAAATGGTTTTTAATGAGAATAAATTTATGAATGCTGAGTGTTGCATAAGTTAGCGTATCAATTGCTGAGAAAAAATTTGTTATTGAATAAATTCTAAAATATAGGTCTAAGCGGAAGGGAATAAAATTTAAAGTATTTGTAATGATTCATGAATTTGGAAGCATGCATTCATGAATTTTAATGCATTTATATATCAATACTCTCTTTACTTAGTCAAATTAAGTACTGTTGGTGAATATTTGTGAACTAAGGATAGAAAAATAATGATTTTTAGGCTATATCGGATGAAGGAGAGAATCCGGAAGACTATCTCATTGTACCAACTGGTGGGCCATATAAAACCATTCCAAAGAAGAATAACGGTATATACACTTTTGTATGCTATTTATTAAAATAGTTTTTAACACATAAAATATTATTTTAAGGGAAAATAATTATGATACTAATTAAAGATTAAATATTTTGTTGAATTTCTTACAGGTTTGACTCATGAAGAATCTACTGAGAACACAGATTGTCAGAAGGAAGAAAATGTCGAAGGACAGGACAATGTAGATAAATCAAAGGGAGATATAAAGACTGTGGTAGAAGAACATATTGAGAAAGAGGTCACCCCTAAGAAAGAGGTAAATCATACATTCATTTTATTGATAATTAAAAATTTTTACTAATTAAATTGTAATATTTTGCTTAAAAACAACAATTTACTTCATATTATTTTCAATTTTCTTATTTCAGGAGCCTCAACCTGAACTCAGGGTAATATTGACTAATATTAACAAAGAAGAAAGTCTAAAACAGGAGGTTAAAATGCAGGGACTGAAACCTGCAAGTGAAAGTACAGAGACTAGCGATAAGAGTGAGCCGGAAAAGGCTAACATCTCGATTCAATCTTCAAACTCATCATCCGCTGCTATCGAAACTAATGGAATTGACAACGAGGACTCCATTAATCTAACTATCGGTGAAGATGAAGAAAATCTCCTTGCTGAGGAGGTATGGCTAAAAAAAAAATAATCTAATCCCTTGAAGCTACAAATTATTAAATTCTAGAATATAGAAATTTTCTCCAAATCATCTAATCGATGTCGCTTCTCGTTGCAGACGGAATCTCACGACAGACACAAGGGTAAGTCTTCCACTGTTTATTATTATTTTTTTATTTAGATATAAGTGACTTCAAGTGATAGCGGTATGCATATCTACGGCATCCTGAGTAAGTTAGCGAAAGCGCCGGCGTGATCAAGAACAAGCGTGTTCAAGTCACGAACATATCAGCGCGACCGTCCGGAACATGGGCGACGCGTCGGAATCGTCTGCGACCAACTTTCCTCCTCATCCTACGAGGCCTACGTCTCAACGAAGGCCCCACGGCCTTCACATCTCGCCGTCGTGAACTACTACTCAACGTCATGGATCCCCGACATAGCATGATCATTGAAGCGCAAGCCAACGCAGACAAGGTTTCTCGACCAGGATTAAATGCACGGTGATCGATAAGGTTTTCAACCGGGATAAAGTGTCACATCCTCCCGACATCCCCGCGCTGCTGATTTGCCAGCAAATACAAACCATGTCCCATCTAGTCTTTAAGTTAGTTAACACTAGAATTTGATATGCAAATTACATTAATTATACCTACCACGTAGAGCGTCGCTGGATCTTCTCATATCATCAAGTCACACGGATACAGGAAGACTCAAGTGTACGCCAGCGAAAATTGGGAACTACCTTCTCGCAAAAAAAAAAAAAATACATATACAATTAACGCAACACGATTTTCACACGTCAGAATGCAGTATCTTCGAAACCGTTGCGGCCCGACGAGTCGCGCGCACATACACGTGCATAATCGAGCATGGTTTTCGCGCGCAAAAAATTATAGTCTGTTGCAGGGATCACTTTGTCGGCATACAGCGATGCTATTTTCTTTCTTTACAGTTTCTTTCCTTGGTTCTCTCAATATCAGAGTTTCGTGTAATACGGAAAGGTACGAGGGTTGCTTTGCGCGCGCGTACCGAGATAAAAACCGACCAAAAAAAAAAAAGTTTTAGATTTTTCGCATCCAACCTTCGATGCTATGCGAAGATGCCTAACCGGGTGCTTGCGATAGCTGCGCGCAGGCTCGCACCGTTGCACGCTGTGCGACTTTATTAGCGACTTGGCCGAAATTCCTGACTGGAAATACAAGCCACTAAAAAGCGGGAGCGATATTTAGGAGTGAGGGAGAAGAGGTTCTTGGCTGCGCAGAGAGTGACTCAAGCTACCCTTGATTGTCCCCGCAGATGGTGTAGAGAAGAAGAAAATGGAAGAGAACAGCAAGAAGGGAGACTCGAAAGGCGGCGGTAGAGCGGAAGCTGGCGCCGGCGGCAAGGAAGGGACGACGTCCGGCGCGAACGTTGGCACGAAGAGCAAGCAGGACGGTGGTGATGGAGGAAGCAAGAGGTTGGTCTCTCTCATAGAGCTAAGAAGTACGCAGTTCGCAGTACTTGCGGTACAGCAAACTGGAAAACATGTCTCAGTCAGTCAGTCAAAAAAAAAAAAGTAATATAAAACCGACTCTGCTAGCAATGAGTTCTGCTGCCTGCATTAACCATATCGCCGGGATGATCTCTCTATCTCTGTCTCTCTGTGGCCCACCGGGCCCGATGGATTTCCAAGACGAGATCGCTCACGTCACACGCAAGATTTACCTTTATATTCCCTCTTTTTTTTTTTTTCCTTTTCAAATCGAATCTTGGAAGTCACACGCTCTTCCGCTCCGCCCGTGTGCTGTAGGCCGTTCATTCTCAGGCTCTGGCAAGTATGTTAAGTCGAGAACTTGGCTAGCAAACTTAAAACGAAAACAAACGAGTCGCACAAACGCCTCGCTTGCGTTATAAACCCCCCCTTCCACGCAATATATATCTCTATAAGGGTGATGTATCACGTGTGCCTCTGCGCACCGAGAAAGGCGGAAAACCGGCGATTCTCCCCGTGTGCTGTGCTCCCGACACGACGAGGATATATTCGAATATTTCATTGTGAGACTGCGAATTCCACCGTGCGTCGTTATGCGAAGGACATTTTAGTATTTTACGGTAGATTGCATTCGGCAGAGCGTGCTTAGGTGTCCTCGTACTGTCAAGAAACGATCCCATTGCTTACTGAAGACACCACCATCCTAAAATTTATAAAATATATACAAAAAACGCGCGAGCGTTTCCAAAAAAAAACCTGTCCCGGCCACGACAAGAAGTGCCCTGTAAGAAGAACTGCGGCCGATGCTTTGTGATTATTTGTGGATCTTAGAGCTGCTAAGTGCGAAACCTCGTTGCCCCACGAACACAATTCCCTTACGAGTGACGAAAATGGATGGATATAAACAGTGAATGTCCCAGTAATCTGAGTAGAACTGATAAGTACACAAATGGTGCACGAGTGAATCCCTCCCTCAAAAAAAAAAACAAACAAACAAAGTATCTAAGTCGTACTATCTAAAAATAAGTTGCTAGCCAAATTTGTGTCCTTAACATAGTTACGGAGATATTTATCGAGAGCCTCACGGATTATAGTCCTAATTAATTCGTTACTTTGAATCGAATCTACTGTGATCTTTGATTTTCAGACGCAATAACAATGTTATCTCTTTCAGCGCGGAGTCTGGCAACAAAAATCAGAAGAGAGAAGACAAAGGTGAATCGCTTGCTCTATTTATCCCGTCATTTATTCGTGCACTTATCACTTTTTGTGTTTAGGCGATCAGATTCTCCACGCAATTGTTTAACAGCACAATGTGCTTCGCAGATAAGAAGACATCTCAGATCAGTCCGACCAATGCGAGCAGTCGCAATCTATGGGTCGCCGGGCTGTCGTCCAGCACACGTGCCACCGATTTGAAGCAAATCTTCTCCAAGTACGGCAAAGTCGTGGGTGCAAAAGTTGTTACAAATGCAATAACTCCTGGGACAAGATGCTATGGTTACGTCACCATGTTCTCGAGCGAGGACGCGGCGAAATGTATACAGCACTTGCACAGGACCGAGCTCCACGGGCGCGTTATATCCGTCGACAGGGTGAGTTTGGATCTCTCGATTTGCAGCACCGTCTGTAGACTTTCTTCTTATTATGAATTTTTTTTTTTACAGGCGAAGGGTGATATGCAACAGAATCACATGCGCAAACGGGATAACATCAACGGCAAATCGGAGAAGAAGGACGAGAAGGAAAAGCCGAAGGATCATGATGCGAATGAGAGGAAGGAGGTGAAGAAGGAAATTGAAGAGAAAGGATCTGGCGCCGGTAAATATCGATTCTTTCACCGAAATAATAACTTTAACATTCCGTTCGTGCAAGAAGCACGAATAATCGAACGAGTGTTGTGCTTGCTCAGCGAAAAAGTCCGACGATAAGAACGAGAGTGCTGAATCTAAGAAAGCCGAGATGCAAGACAAGAAGGAGGATCCGTCCAAAGAGTCTGATGCGCGATCGACAAAGTCCACGAGCAAGAAACCGGAGAGCGAGAGAGGAAAACGAGAAGAGAAGCGGACACGCACTTGGGACAGGGATCATCGCACTCACAGTCGGTCCCGCAGTCGCGAGAGACGCAGACGCGACGATGTTCTCACATTCGCCAAGATAAGAGTAAGCACCATTATTTATTTCAATTTTCACGATTATTAATCCTAGCGTTGTCAACGGTACGAAAGAGTTCGTGTAAAAGATGAAAAATCTTACGCATATTCAGGAGGAGCGGGAGCGGCAAAGACTGCGCGAGAGAGAGCGGATTTTGCGGGAGGAAGAGCGGAGGAGAAGAGAGGACATAGAGCGCCAGCGCGAGATAGAGCGCAGACAGCGGGAGGAGGCCGCGCGCTTGGAGAGAGAGCGCGAGAAGCTGAGGCGGGAGAGAGAGCGGATCGAGCAGGAAAAGGCCGAGCTGCTGCGACTCGAGCGCGAACGTCAGAAGCTCGAAAGGGAGAAGCTCGAGCGCGAGAGGATGGAGCTGAAGCGGCAGCAGATGCGCCTGGAGGAGAGCAGACGCGCGCCGCCGCCGCCGTCCATAAAGAGATCGTCGAGCGACAGACGAGATCCGCGGGACTTGTACGTGGAACCCGACAGAAAACGAATGGCCACGGAGCACGGCCGTCGACACAGTCCGGACAGAGTGCCGGACAGACGAACCGAGATAATGGATCGCGTGTCCGATCGACGATTGGATCCCTCGCCGCCTTCTCGCTACGAATCCGGCAGGTAAAGCCCCGTTTCTCTCGCTCGCTCTGCAATTTCGCCGGAAGCGCGACGAATGCTTTCACTTTCCTTCGATACGTGCCCGCGTTAACGCGATAATGACGCAAGTTGTTCCAGATCCGCGCAGGAGATGGGATTGAAGAAGGAGTTCAAGCGAAGCGGCGACTTCTCCTCGAGAAGCAGCCGGCCGGACAGCTTCTCCGACGTTTCTCGCGGACGAGAAGTGATCGTGCGGCGGGAGAGTCTGTCCAGCGCGTCCTCGTCCATGGATCCGCGACAGGTGAAGGAAAGGTGTGTGTGCTTGGAATCGCGTGCGAGTGATGCAGTAATCCGGGGTGGAATCTCGTCGGTGTCTAAATATCGAATCTCCCGTTTTCTTTTGCAGATACGATCGTCCGAGCAGCACATCCTACACTCGCGAACGCGAGGTGCGACGTTCCGATCCCGAGACGCACCGAAGCTCCAGGGACAGCCACGCGCGATACAGCGATAGCTTTAAGCCTCCGGGATCCACCACGCCACGTAAGTATGACAAATTGTACATGTACGAGAGGTGGTTTTAATACGCGGCATATTTAGACTCCGTTTAACAATCCTTAATATTAGTCACAATGTCACACCGAATCTTTAGATGGCCATTCTCTTTTTACACAGGATATAAATATTACATTAAATAAGGACACAATATACAATAATCAAAACATCTTCATGAAACATCTGTGACAGAGGTGCACACGACTCAACATTGTACACGTTAAATTTATTTTTGCCCATCATTTGAAGCTCTTAGGTAGTTAATTAATATGCGACTGAGATTAGATAGCGATTAGAGATTAGCTCTTAATATAAAACGTTTACAATTTTAAAGAATCAACGAAACAATAGGTAAATTATAAAATCAGATATAGATCACACGATGGTAACGAAATTCAACTCTTTTGGCAAACACGATAGTAAATTTAATCTGATCTACAAATGCCGACAGTATTTGTATCACCAAGTAAAAGTGATTTTGTAACATGTCTAAACTGTATAAAAATATCGTAGATATTTGAGAAGGATATATATGAGGAATATATATATACATATATAAGAAGTTACATCAAGTTATGAAATTAGAATTCAGATATTAACAGTATTACTTTTCTTGAAGCAAAATATTAAATATGTTGCATTTATGAAAATATTATGCCGCAAACTGGATTTTATTATGCTGTTCTACTTAATGTCATGATATTTTTTTTTATATCATCAAACAGATGTATTTAGGTTGATAATTTTAATAACGAGAATCATAAAAGAAACTTCGAAACATTTTGTAAGAAATTTTATTATCTCGTTTCTCTCATATCCATTGTGTGTATTCCTTTTTACGAACGTGTATGCTTCATAATAAAAATGTATATGATTTCTCAATTTCTGTTGAGTTTCATTGTAGTTAGTTGAACCTGCTATCAGTATTGCGATTTTACGAACGAGATGCGAGAATGTTGCACGATGTTCAATATACATATTTTTTATTATAAAGCATATCAAGCCACTCGAGTGCAGAGAGCTTAGTGTATCGATAGAATCATATTCAAATGAATTATAATTATTTTTATTTTTCTAGTGAATAGTTTAGTGATATTTTTCACATAATTTAAGGAAGCGAGGAACACACACATACACACAGATTAATGAAAAATACTCTTCTCTTCATCCCCTTGCATGTGATTTTAACATCTCAATGCAGGTGAAAGTCGTTACGTGGAAAGCAACCGCACGCCCAGCGGATGGCATTCGGGACCTGCGTCCTCGAAGTCCTTTAACTCCGTGACGAGCAGTGGATCCCGCGATCCTCGCAACGAGGCGTCTAGCTGGAGTTCTAGATCGTCAGACAGCGTCAACAGGTACGCCCGTTTCATTCTCAAAATATAAATTTCAAGCGTAATTGTCTTATTTTTGTCCGATCGCAAAATTGAGCCTTGGATATTTGTTCACGCTGTGATGCTCCTCTAAGGAACTTCTTGCCAACTGAGAAACTGCTTGTTGCAGATGGAGCAATTCGAGCAGCATGGGAAATACATTGCGACATCCGATTCCGCCGACATATCAGAGCGGACCGATGCAATCCATGGGACTGGCCGCGCCGGGTACGGCACCGTCGTACGAGCGGTTTGATGCGTACAAATCGTCCATGCCTATGAGAAAATATTGATCATCCGGTCGTGCGAGCGTTTATTTGGCTGAATAACTTCAATTACTACATTGTACTTTTAAAATTCTGAGCAATTGAAGGTCATCGGTGACAATTTGACTGAACAGATTTATGAGATTCATAGAAAAATTCTTCGATTACCACAAATTATAAATATATCTATATATACATATAATATATGTGATATATGTAATATAATAATTATATCCATATGGCATAATTATTATGTTATAAATATATATAATAAATATAAATAATATAATAATTATATCCATATGGCATAATTATTATGTTATAAATATATAATAAATATAAATAATTATATAAAATTATTGATAAATTTATTTATATATAAAATATTGATGAATTATTGATGAATTGATAAATATAAATAAATCACCATCGATTGTTCGGAATTTTACACGTAATTGAAATTATTTACAATTCTATATGTGCCGTGTGATACGTAAAACATTAACATCTTGCCGCCCGAGTTACGCTCAAGTCGGATGATACACAGTTTCAATATCATTACGCACGTATCTGCAGTTTTAGGAAATTTCTATTTTTCGAACAATCTGCAAGATTCTTTAAATACAGAATGAAAGTAGATATTTATCCCATCGATCAGCAATGTGTTAAGAAAATGAGAAACTTCTGTATAACGTGCCAGATTGCTAACAGCGATGCTCGGCGCTTAAAGGTGGCAGTAATTCAGATGACATCACATTTCATATTAAGCATGTACAATTCTTCTTATCTCGAGTCGTTTAATCGCATGTTCCACACACAGAATTCTGCCCCCTGAATAACTCTTTTGCTCACTCGACACATGACTCCTTGTATCATCCCCATTTATGCTCGTTCGCACGCAATTTAGTATATTATATAGAAGTTGTGTAACATGGCGCATTAAAAGTGCAGTTCTGAATTTGTCTAACGCGAATTGCAGATCTGAAGTTTTTTCAAAGAGAGAGAATGATCACATCACTTTTTATAACGCGAAGAGCACAAAGGCGAACACTTGAACGAGTACAAGTCGTCAATCCTACAATTGTCGAAGAATTGCTCTTGAACTCCACCGATATCCAATATCCGCCAATATTTTGTCGCAATCGAACAAAGTATCGGATTTGTACAAAGTCTGCATCATGCATAATAATGTTTGAAGAGAGGCGGAAGCACTCGTCATCTCTTTGTCGTCGTTTCTCTTCTGCGTACACGCTCGCGTAGCAGTGACGCGTTCGCGACGCGCGATGTTTCTAGCACGTTTCATGTCTAATGGAATTTTGTACATGTGTTAATATATACTATATCCCGCTGTGTAATCCCCTCCCCCCCAAAAAAAAAAATCGAAGAAGGCGCAGTTTATCTTCCTATTGAGTTTGTAAATTTCGCGCCGTCCGTTTTGCTTTCGTCGTTCGAGCTGTGCGCCTGAAGAAGCGATCGACTTTAACGAGAGGGACGCTAGAGGCTAAAAACGGGCGCATCTGCTTGTCTCAAGTCCGGTTCGTCCCGATAGAGTGTAACGATGAGCGAATGATACGATGATATTGTTATCGGGTAATTTTATTATTATATTTCTAAGAAGAGGCCCTTTCACCGCCCGGAAAAACGGGATCTGTACATTGAGATCCGTCGCGCGGATTTCCATCGCAGATGAACAAAACAGAAAAAAACAAAAAAAAAAAAACTGTATACGTTAGAGTAATGTAGCTGCGCGCGCTTACTTTATACAGTGGGGAAACACGAATTACGATGTAGCGGAAACTGTCACGACGTAAATAAATCTAGGTGATATACTACGAGACTCGACGTGCTTGGCTCACTTCCTTCTTCCAGAGGAGAGAAAGGGACATTGCCCTCCGTCGAAAATCGTCCAAGTTCGACGGCTGCAGGGCGGTTCCCGCGCGTCGCCTCCCCGATGACGAGTCGTTGAAGGCGGAATGTCGGAGCGGTGGAGGGAAACACCACTTTCCCTTGAAGATTAGGGACGGCGCCACGCGGAGAAAGAAGGAGAAAGAAACGGAGAGAGAGTGAGCGCGCGAGCGGCCCGGGTCCTCCGACGAGAGTAAAGTGTGTCGAGGTCTTTTCACGGACAGTCGTCTCGGCCCGAGGTCCGAGTGCAGCCGCGCGATCGCTTCCTTTATCGATCAATTTTTTTTTTACCTTACCTTTGCGTCCTCCCCCCGCCGATTGTCACTTTCGTTCTCTCTCTCTCTCTCTCTCGTTCTCTCGCCGCAGCATGCGTAACTCGCCGGCGTACTCGCGTTGATCCGGACGCTCTTAGTTACAAAATAGTTGGGCGCCGCGGTCTCTCGAGTGTCACAGGTGCGCTTCGGACGGTGACACAAGCGCTGGGGATGTCCGCGGGATAACAGCTTTTCCTCTTTCATAAACGGAGATGTCGCTGTCAGCTGTTCTGGGTAAGTGCAACCTGCAAGTGTCATCCCTCGCGTGTGCGAGATTGCACGCGGGGGGCTGCGAGTGTCCGGCGCCGTGCGCCTTTGATCGCCGTTTAATCGCACGGATCAATTGGCAATCTCACGGTGGAAACGTTGCGCGGAGGAACGACGGCGGATTACTGATACGCCCGAGCGTGACCGGTTAGCTCCGATTAGGCTGCAAAAGTGAAAACGATTAAATTGATATGTCGGTGCGTCGACTCGGAAGGGGCAAGAAAGTGATCCTATTTGCATGCCTGTTCGGCGCATTTTCGCGATCGCTTTCTAAACCTCATCCGCCGCTTTTCGATCAAATTGCACACGCGCGAAAGCACGCGCAGATCCGAGAAAGTGTGATCTATGCGCGACGTCGAAGATGCAAACATTTAATTAAAAAATCGATATCAAGCGGAACTTAATTTTTTTGCAATATTTAAACTTGAACTTGTAGAATACTCGCAGCTTCTCTCGCCGCCGAGTCCGCGATCGCGGCTTTGTTTCTATTCGTTATCGCGGTTTGAAGATGGCCTCAATTACACGTTAATAAATTCCGTAGTGCGTAGTACGATTCTCACTTTCTCGGATTAGTTTGTGAATTGTCTAACGATACGGAATCTCGGTGACCTACTGACAAGACTCCTTCGGTTCTCTCGTTACAGCTGCAAGATCGCAATCGGCGATTGTGCGCTAATAGCGCCCAAGCACCATAACACGCTGAATTAATTGCTATTTAAAGCGGACTATCACTTTTACGGTTGTCAAGACTTGTGTCATAAAATCAATTTATATCTTTAGATCGTATCTAATCTAATCGTAAACGGTAGTGCATTTTTTGTTTCATTTCCGGTTCATTAATTCGTAAAAGAAATTTATAAATAATAGATTGCACGCCCACAGGATCTCACAATTCTGTATTCAGCATGCGTTATTTCCTAGCGTTATGCACATAAATTAATTCTAATTCTAGACAATTTGTCTTGTAGAAATGAAACGGAGAAATTTTACCAAGTGTGTGTGATTCCAGTTTGAATAAAATTAAAATTATTCTCTAAAGTGAATCATTTATAATTTAAATTGTACAAAATTGAATTCTTTTTTTGTACTTTTACAAATTTTTCTAAGATGAGGAATTCACGCGTTTATTTTTGAAAGTAGATTGAGTAAACAGTTGTCGCGAAGCGTTGCGTTAACTCTAATCAGCTCCATCGGACGATTTAAATTCTACAAAACGATATACATCCGGACGTGTTCTCCTTTTTTTTTTTTACTCGCGACGATGTCGCGAGTTTGTATAGCACATGTATCACGCACACGATGCCCAACATATCTGGGTTACTGCGTGGGTATACGCCATATATTCTATAGACACAACTCACACACACGCTGTGCGACACAAAGCCATTCTTCGAAAAGACGGGTTTCGAAGCATCTTTCGTCAAATTCTTCAAATGTCTCCAGAAGAGACAGAATAACACCTTTGTACTTGGGAATAATTAATATGTAAAATGGCGTGGTATTTGGCTACTTCGATAAAATTGAGAACAATTTTTCCTTGACGAAAATGTCGAGAAAATCACTCATCGCATTTCCTTTTCACTTTTTAACCGAATTTCTTTTATTAAACTAAAATTTCATTGATTAAAATTTAAGTAAAAAATTTTATCTAGCTCAACTAATCTTTTCAACTAAATTTTTAAGTTTTATATTCGAATTTTATTAAACCTTTGAAATTATCTCGAGAATATGATTGTGTCATCTGATTTGCTCCGAAACTTAGAATCACTCGAGATCCTGATTTTTAGTGTGTAGTAAGTAGCTCGACATTTTTTTTTTTGAGTGAAAATCAAAACCTGCGATGAGAAGAACATCCGGTAATCTTGCGACAGTCCGTAAGCTTATTAAACACCGAAGTATAACAGATTCGGTTCTTTCTCTCTTTATGTTTTGATTGAATAGAACACACACGACTTTGCGACGCGCGTTCATCTGTGCTTGCACGATTCGCCGGGATGTAGCTCGGAAGTACTTTTTGCTTTTCGCGTTTTCACATTTTCACTGCACGGTGAAACGCGAAAAGTCGATTCGAGGCAAATCGAAATCGCGCATTTGCCGCATGATGTATCGTGATGCACCGATAGTGATAGTAACGCATTTCAGATGTACGCACCGTGTCTGGATGTTCGCACATCCGACGTTTGTGTTCGAAACACACGTAGAATTAATATATATTCGATTTGCCTTGGATTAACTTTTCGCTTTTCACAAAAAGTGTTGATACGAAATGTTTAATATAATTACGGCACAAAAGATATTCTGCAACTCGCGAACTAAGTTTTCAATGATTGATTCTGCGATAAGTTTAGAGCCGATTTTTTTCTTCGGCGGAGTTTTAGCTTGAGACATCGATAAGTTACAAATTTAGTTAGAAAAAGATTCGACGAGAATTGAAAAAAAAAGTGAAAACGTCTCCCGACATTTTAGTTGAAGGAAAATCGAAAAGGTGATCGGAGAATCTGTCGGTAAAAGTTAACAGCAATTACGATACGTAAATGACAACCGACCGATGCGAGTGGCTGCAATCTTTATTTGACCCGCATACGTTTAAATGATCCTGATACACGTTATCAGAGACGTCCTTGTAACGCTTGCAGCTGGGGACAAGGGGACATTGCTCCCGTCTTCGATAAGCAACAGATCCTTCAGATCTTTAATTCAATTTTCGTTTCGCGCTTCTGAAGAAACTTTTCCATACAGTTTGCAGGTCGAGAACGAAAGTCTGCTTTAGAAATTTTAATGCTTCTGGTTCCTCACTGCAGTTTAATGAATTATGAATCAGAAGCGAGAAATCGTGTGATTTTTTTTTTTTCATAGTACACGAGATAAATTAGTGTTTATTTTTTTTTTTTTAAGAACTCGCGTTCGATGGTTTAGAATTGGTAAAAGAATGGAAAACTTGTTTCTTCATCATGCATTGATAAATGCAGTATAATTAGAAATTGTTCATAGATTAACACGAATGCGGAGAGGAAACAGAAGCCTTGGCTCTTTATTTCCTAGATTTTCCAATGAAACGAGCAGCAACAAGTGTCGCGGAAAATCATGGAAGATCGACGTTTTACCCGGAATTTTCACCGGAGTGAAAATTCAGCGAGACGTCAGAGAATAGTTGTTGTTTACGATCGGATTTCCCCAGCCGGAACATCGCGCAACGATTACTCCGGGAACGCTCTCTTGCCGGTCGCCGCGAGTCCAAAAGATAAATCGTCCTTCTCGCTCCTCGAATCGGGCAAACGTGAATCAGTGAACGGAAGAAGAAAGGCGCGCACTTTCTCGCCGGGCGACTTTCACCGTCGATAGGAGAAGCCCGGCGCGTAACCGGTTCCGAAAAATCCTACTTCCACGACGGGGCGACACGTAATTTCGTAATTACACACCGATCCCGGAGCTACGGCCTTCGACGATCGAAAGAATGTCATCCGTGTGTTTACGTACGCGCGTGTTTCAGCGTCTGCCATTTGTAATCCTCGACGCGACTATTTCTCCCGTAATTAGGTCGCGCGATTGTGACTACGAGATACGCCTCTAATAACCGTCTCTTTTTTTTCTCTCTCTCTCTTGCAGCGAGAGACCGGATTTTTATTTCCCTCAATTAGAGGCGAGAGACTCTTTGAGTTGACGCCGCCGAAACGGCGCGAGTGGTGTTTGCGACAAACCGGAACTGAATCCGGATCGCCCGACGATGATCTCAAACTCGAGACATTCTCCGCCGCGAATTAGCATCTCTTCTTTTTTTTTTCCTCGCAGTTCCGGGAGATTCGACGCGCGTTTAATGCGCGACTTAATTTCACCTCATTAACGATCGACGGAACAAGGTCGAGATGAAACGCCGCGACGTGAATCGGCGTCTAATTACGTGACCTGCGATCAAGCGACCCGACGTATAATTGCGGAATTAATTAGAGACATCATGAGCAAAGGTCGGCACTCTCGCTGTCGGCGAAATTTCTCTCTCCGGTTTGTCTATTGCGCATCCTTAATCTCGCGTTTAGCACGCGCTTCCTGCTGTAAGGCAAGCGCTTGCAGTCGCATTTTTACAAATGTTTCTTCTTCATTTTAGAAAGTTCTATTAGATTCATCCGCGCGCGCGCGTTTATCGTGAGGATATCAAATGTCGCTGCTTCGGTTTATCCCTGAAATTTGACAGGTTCTGAGAGGATTGGAAAGTCCGAGCGCTCCAGCATGCGTTTTCATGTTGCATAACACGAGACCCGCCCGTTTATTACGTGCGATGTGTGTGTGTGTTGAGTGTTACGACATGGTATTCCCCGATGATAGACGAATGACTTTGTAATTATCGCCAAGATCATTTTCGGCTGGCGTATTTTAACGCGATAACAATGCAAGGTCGATAAAAAAGAATGAAAAGAAAATCGGCAGCTAATTATTAAAATGACTTGCCTAAACTTTTATCACACTAATCCATCGCCAAGTTAAATCGCGTCTATAAAATAATAAATTGATAAAAAATTGATTGAAAAGTTGAACAATGCGTAATTTTATGCATTCGTTTCGTCAATATTCAGCGCGTTGTATAACGGTGTGTTTACACGACTTTTATGCGATACCCATAATTCATATAATGAGATATTCGCGTTTCAGGCCTATGCATGCTATGGAGCCTGTTCGCCGGCTCCGTCTCGTACACCGAAGAGGTCGTGCATTACCGCGGTTATCGTAAGTAGCTTCGAACCTCGACGTAAGTACACTTGTTAGTGCGTGCGGAATGACATTAGGATGCTTGATCTTTTTTCAATTTTCAAAATTATCTTCCATTATTTCGACATTGCGCCGATTGTCTCCCGTTGTTCTCGAAATAACAGCGAGAATTATTTCGCAACATCCTAATCGCATCCTTCGCATGCGGACAAACATTCGTACTACACGCTACGCGAGCTGATCGTCTCGCGCCCGTCATCGTTATCTCGAATTCATCCTAGCGCGGCCCGAGACGCTTTCGTGAAGGAAAGTGGAGCGCGAACGAGAACGGCACCCGCGGCGTGTCACGATAATCGCGATTATATCACGCCGAGTGCGACACATTTGCGGTTCCAGCAACGATGAACGCTGACAGTTGCGCAATTTCCGGGATTCCGCGCGGAAAGAAATGCTCGCGATAACGATGACGGACGCTCGACAAATTAATAAAGCGCTCACGCTTTGCCGCTCGCCTGTTAAACTCGTGCGCGTTAATTATCTCGCTTCTGACCTACGCGATGCTGCGCAGCGTACGGATACGGGAACTCGTACATCTCACCGACATGGTCGCCGCAGCTCTGGGACGCCGGGCCGAGCAGGTCGGCGTATCGTCGCCAGGACACGCGCCCCTACACGAGGCTGGTGAAGGTGGAGCAGCAGCAGCAGAGAGATCCGTTGGCGACGATCAGCGAGACTCTGGGCGCCTTGAACACCGTGGGAAACTACATCGTCAATATGACGCGCGGTGGCGAGATTTCCAATTATCCGTCCAAGGAACTGCCTTCGGCATTGTACATCCTTTCCAAGAATATTTTGGGTAATATGAAAGAATTGATTAACCGACACGTCACTTTCTACAATCATCGATTGATTTTGGATATCAATTCTCGGAACTCACTCACTTTTTTTCTCAGGTCGCAACATGACGGACACTATAGCGCCTTTGGTGCGCGGCGTCGCGTTGCCATTGAGACAAACGATTGTGTCCACCACACAGGCGCCTTTGATTCAGCAGCAGCAGCAGCCAGCCGCTGAGGAACTTGTGAATAGAGACAAAGAGTCCGCTCTGTCCGCGTGTACGACGGCTGAGGGTGGACCCGGCAAGTGTCAGGATCTCAGCAACTGCCCGCAATTGCTGCTCGATCTCACGAAACTGAGGCAAGCGTTGTGCTTCAAGAGCCTGTTGGTGCCAGGCGTCTGCTGTCCGGCCGACAAAGCCGACGTTCCTGTGTAAGTTCGTCGCTCCAATCTTGCGTGCACGAGATTATTATGCGCACAAGAGACGGCTTAATTATTCCGGATATTAATTTTTTAGACGATTGCTTCAAACCAATTAGTTATTTACAAATATAAAATATTCCATTGACTTTTTGTACAAAGGGTACTCAACTGGATGAATGTTGTAGCGCCGTCGGCGGAAGCGCATCCCCGGGAATCGACATCGCGCACACCACGCGACCACCGATTCGAATTGTGAAACCTGCCACGCCGCGTCCGATACCGTTGTACCCGGTGACGATAAAGCCGACGCCGCATATTGTGCCATCCCCGGATTTGCTGATCAATAATACGAACGGCGTCGAGATCAGCACGATCGACAATAATTTTATTCAGGACGACGAAGGTATTTCTCATCGCTGTTGTCAAAAAGTCGGCTGAAAGAAAGCTTTTATCAGATTATTTCATATCAATTGTTCCTTATGTTAATATAAATTATTTTATATTAATTCCTTGATATTAATTATGCAATAAATAGCTAGATAAAGTTTTGTCTCTGAGAAACCGGTCTCACGAGGATTGTTGATCTGTTCAGAGTGCGGCGTGAGAAATTCAGGTAAATACCGGGTGGTCGGAGGCGAGGAGGCGCTGCCCGGTCGCTGGCCCTGGATGGCGGCCATCTTTCTGCACGGCACTCGGCGGACGGAGTTCTGGTGCGGCGGCTCGCTGATAGGATCGCGTTACATCCTCACCGCCGCTCACTGCACGCGAGATCAACGGCAGCGGCCGTGAGTAACGTTCTGTTCGACAAACAATCCACGATACTTGAAGTCGAGTCAGAAATATATGAAAGCAATAACAGTGTGCATTTGTCGTCTCTCAATCGGACGATTGGAAGATTTTCTTCAGTCCGAATAACAGAACAAGATTTTTTGCGCACACAAATCTTACGATAAATAATACAATGTTTCCGACACACACTTTTCTGATGTCGCGCACAGTTTCGCCGCTCGTCAGTTCACCGTGCGCCTCGGTGACATCGATCTCGAGAGGGACGACGAGCCCTCGTCGCCGGAGACTTACACCGTGAAACAGATCCACGCGCATCCCTCGTTCTCGCGTGTCGGATTTTACAACGACATCGCCGTCCTCGAGCTCACCAGGCCGGTGAGGAGGTCGCCGTACGTGGTGCCCGTCTGCCTGCCGCAGGCGCGACACCGCGGCGAGCCGTTCGCCGGCGCCAGGCCGACGGTCGTCGGCTGGGGCACCACTTATTACGGTAATTAATATCATCTTGCGTGTCTTGTATCCAGCGCTGTGCAATTTGAATTCTTGTTTCCGCAGCGATCGATTGCTTGTAGAGCGGTGTGAGTTGATATAAACTGAAACTTAAAATGAAACGTCTTCATTCAGCAGAACTTGTTTAATTTACAGGATTGAGTAAATTGTGAGAAATTTATTTTGAGAGCTGATACCTTTTGATCCTTCATTGAAATGCTGAGGAGGGAAGATTTAATACGAAACATAAAATGAAACATATTTGGGATTTGTTGAACATTATTTTGTTCTTTTTATTTCTTATTTTTATAAGAAACATTACGCTAGTAGAAATCGCTCATATTTGTTTTCTATATTTTATGGCAGAATGGATTAATTACGAATTTATCAGATTGTTTCACCTCTTTGCTAAATCATGACAAGTGTAACGATGCAACAGGCGGAAAGGAGAGCACCATTCAGCGCCAGGCGGTCCTGCCGGTGTGGAGGAACGAGGACTGCAACGCGGCTTACTTCCAGCCGATCACCAGCAACTTCCTGTGCGCCGGTTACAGCCAAGGCGGAAAGGACGCGTGTCAAGGGGACTCGGGTGGACCGCTGATCCTGCGTCTTGAGGGCCGATGGACGCAGATCGGCATCGTCTCGTTCGGCAACAAATGCGGCGAGCCCGGTTATCCCGGCGTGTACACGCGTGTCTCCGAATTCACCGACTGGATCAGGAAGAATACGTAACGAAGCGGTCGTGTCGCGGGATTCTACAATGCTATTCCTGGAAAATGACGTACCCAGATTAATTGCGTATTCTGTGAAAACGAAAGGTGGAAACCACTCAATTTACATCAAGATGCTTCCTGTTAAAAAAAATAGGCAGATTAATATATGTAAAACGTATTCTGTCTTTCTTATTTCTGCGAAACAAAATGTCGGCTTTTTAAAATTTTAGATTTATTTAGATCTCTTTTTTTAATCGGTCTATTTTTTGTAGACACGTGATATTTAAAGAAATTTCTTGATTCAGTATTCTACGTCAACTGTGCTGCGTGTCAAGATGCTTAATCGTGCAAATTTGCATAACACATATGTGCCTTTTTATAGTCTTGAAGATACATATGTCAAGTCTAAGCGCATTTTTTGCTCCATTGTAAAATTTCTACGATGTCGAAACGTGTTTATTCACAGTTTCGTCTTTACAATCGTTCTTTCATTACATTAATAAATGTATAGCAATCTAGTATTTTATAGCAATCTAGCATTTTATAGCAATCTAGCATTTTATTTTGATGGAGACACATTTTTATGTGATCACATGTATGTTCACTGAAAGAATAACTTATAAATAAATAATTATTATTATATTTATGTATGATGTACGATTAAAATCACACACATACGACAGGCGTTTCAAGCGAATTTATTTCTTTGGTTCATAGATTAAATAATACATTTGAGAAACATATGAACGATGCATACAGCATCCCAAGCGTCCTTAACTCTGTCAAATTAACATGACATTTAATTAAATTCGTAGTGCTCTATCACAAAAGTTGGAAATATTCGATATATAAACTAAAAGTGCTGTTGTAAACCCTGAAAATGAAACTAAAAAGCGTTTCCGCGGAAAATTTAGCAAATATCGTGAAGCAAATGATCAACACGGCGCTCGAGGACTCCGGTTAGTCCTTCATGTATCTCACGCAACGCATTTGTATTGCTATTCAAAACATGATTATCATTTAGATCAAATAGCGAAGTTACATCAAGCGATCTACGAAGAATGGTACTTCATGAGAATGATGGAGTTAGACGCGAGAGGTAAAACGGAAAGTGAAGATGTTCCGAGGATCAGTCAGGTTGTGAAAAAATCATGCACAAAAGTGAAGTCAAGGAATAAGAATGCTATACAGGAGATGTCATCGTGTTCCTCGAGCAATTTAACAAGAAATGTGTTGAGCAGAAGCAAATCGATGGACGCTTTGCACAATATGAAATACTCGCCGAGGCAGGATTTGAATAACATGAAAATAAATAATCGCGATAAGTTCGGTGGCCGAGATACGCCTGTTATGTGCAACAAATCGGTTGAAGTAATACAATCTTTAACATTTTATCCCATCTCGCTACATCTATCAATATTATTACACTATCTGGCTATATTTAAAAAAATAGAATTTTATTTAATAATGAATCTCTCTTGATGTACACGCAGACGAATGTATGTATCGAACATGATGAAAGGGGCTGTGAAATTTCTGCAGAACAGGAATGCACGATTGGCAACAATATTGCGTCCGATCGGGAAATAATTGAAGTATGGAATCGAACGCGAGGAGCGAAAATTAAGAAATTGGCAAGCAATATTGCTGAATGTCAACCCATAAAGCAGAATAAAGGGTTATTATAGATATATAATAGAAATTTCACGGAATTAGAAACACTTAATACATAAAAGAGATAATTTTTACGTCATTCAGACAATTAGTGAAGCAAACGAGAAGATTGTCCTTCGAGTCTTGGAAGAAGGAGAAGAACTTAAAGTACAGAAAGCTGCTGAGAGAAGCAGAAGAGAAGAAGCAACGGGAGTTGCGGGAAAAAGTGAAGGACATCGAATATAAGAAAGCTTCTCAGGACGTGAGTACACTTCCGTTTTTATCGCTCAACCCAGAGACATCCCGAAAACTTTGCGGATGCATTTTCAGGCATGCGCTCAGATGATAAGAGAGAAAGAGGCCCAACAAAGGGAGCTATCGGCCAGGCTGCAAGCGATTCGACAAACAAACATGGAGATTCTGCAGAAACATATCGACGAGAGACGCGTTATCAATGCTCGAGCGTTCGACGACTGGAAAAGGCAGAAGAATATAAAGCTGAGAGAGGCGAAGCTAATGACAATGTAAATGCAAAGTATATCGCGCTCGGAACGCGGGTTTCTATAATGTTGCGACAATAATAAATGCATTTTTAGGGAAAATCCGCTTGAAGTGAAGAAATCGGCGAGACCGATCGTTCCCAGCTCTCAATTCGGCTCGTGGCTGAATCAGCTGAACAGCGTCTTGCACCAAAAGTATTTACGGGAACGTCGCCATTTGGTGCGATCGTTCTACTGCCAGCCTACGTATTACGGTGCCGCGGCCACGTGCCGCATGTAAATGATATGTGAAATCAATTGTTACGACGGACGTTTGCGTGATAAATCATCCGCCGTCGTTCGATAAAATTATCTCTATCAAAATTGCAAGATCAACCATCGTCTATCATGTGTACAATCACTAGTTTGTGAAAAATATTAATCAGAACTTTACATCGCTGGCGTCTGGTGAATCGAGCTCGCTGCTTTCGAGTGCAATTCGTAGACTAGATTCACAAAGACTGACGTGCACTGTCTAATGAAGCGTGTTCATTAGAACGTTCCACTTGGACGCAGGAATGCGGCTTTTCATTTCTCTACTACAGATTCTTAATCTCACATCTTTTGCTTGTCATTGTCTTTCAAATTATTTAATGCTTTTTGTACCAACATTCCTAAGTTCTTTGGAAGACTCATCTGTATCGATTGCAACTGCTGCATCACTGGACTCTCGGGCGCGGATCTACACGGCACATCGTTCTCATTTGTTATAATACTGTTCTCTTCGATGTTATCGGCACTACCGCTAGTCGCGTGATCTAAATCATTAAATTCACTATCACCTGTAAGAAATAAGTATATTACAGTGATGCGTCGGCAATAACGTTGAGAACAATTGCAATTGTACTTGGACTCACATCTTAAGTCAACATTGGCGCTCGTGTATCCCTCTAAGAGCTTCATGGTTGGCGACTGCACTGCACTCTCCAATTCACAGATTCTCAATGCCAATATTCTGCAGATAACGTGGATAAATTAACGTTCAAAACTATAAATCTAAGTGCAACAGTAATTTATTTACTTATTCGCTTTCTTCTGATGCGCCAGGGCTAAAGTTTTGTCGTTTAAAGCTTCTAACAAGGCTGTGCAAAGGCACCGTAGATCAGTCACAGCAGCAGCAGATTTCTGAGGAGGTATGTAAGAGCTCTCTTGCAGAAGCTGTTCGACTGGAAGTAAGAAAAACACATTTTCTTTGGTATCAAACGTTCATAATATAATTTATATGCTTTTGTATGCGTATTTTACCTTGTTTATGGGTCATTACTGTTCCAGCAGCAGAATTTACTCCCAGCTTGATGTTACCTTTAGCCCTTTTACTATCCAGCATACTCTGAAAAATTATTCACTGCTAGGAATAGGTGAAAATTAAAATAATATAGAGTAATTTTGTTTCGTACCTTATATTTAGATAGAGATTGACGCGTGAGCTCCTTCTCCTCGAGCAACTGCTGCAATCTTTCCTGCAGATATCTATTCTCATTGATAAGAGCGTCCAAGTCGACTGGTTTCGAGGCACTCAAAGCTTTAGATAGCTCATAATTCAAACGATGCGCTTTGCACTTGAATGCGTCTCTTTCCATCTCCAGCTCATGTTTTTCATCCAGCACTGTTTGCAAATCTGTTTGCAACTGTGAACACTATGACAGAAAATGACATTTATTAAACAAACTGACGGTATCTTGTTAAAATTTAAAGCAATTCAAATTATTATTAATTAACAGATGCTTTCTTCTTGTGTCGTACTTGCCTTCAAGTTTAATTCTTCCAATTGTTCTATCATTTCTTCTCTCTGATGCATAGCTGGTGCAACTTGGGTATCCTGTTGCTCAACCAGTGTACGATTGTTATTGATACGTAATGCTTTGATATCACCTACGGCCTCTGCCAGTTTTTGCCTCAATGTTTCAACTTGTAGCCTGAGACATTTGTTCTGTTCTCGCGCTTCCGTCAATAGATCTAAGGTTCTAAGATTATCATCTACACTATGGCACCTGCAAAAATATTGCTTATTAATGAAAGAATCATCAATAAATGGAGTAGACAGTGTTAAAATAACACCATTCTGTTTCACTTGGATCAGATACCTGTTCAACTCTTTGGTATCACACATTTGCTTCTTCAAACGCAGAAATCTTTCCTGAATTTGTTCCGCCATAAATTTAAATTGATCTCGTTGCGTTTTACACTGCTCCACATCCTGGCTCATTAATACGAGCGCCTCCGACTTCATTTGCAATCTTTTCTTTAACATTTCCTACAAATAAACATATTTCATGTGAAATGTCATGAGATAGCGAATATGTAAATCTTGGTAGTAACATCTTGTTACCTACTTTGGACTCTGTGTCAGTATTGCCAGCATCATTTTCTTTCACGTAAGCAGATTTCTCTTCCATTTTAATTAAAATCTATATTATTACAATAGAACACGATACGTTTTGACACTTTTGACAATTGTGTGATTTAAATAGTCAGATTAATGGTTCCTGTATATATGTGACGCGGCAATTCATTATGGACGATTTACACTGCATCTGATTTATAATGTTCCCTAGAAGACTTCTAAAAAACACACTTTTCTATTGGTTCTATTAAACGTTAATGCACTGCAAATCTTCCTGTAAGGTTACGGTAGGAAACACTCCATTTTATTCGGGATTTTATGAAATTGTCAACAGGAACACATGGGGTGCATTCGTTTATGCAGTTACTGCCGCAGATGTCGTTCGTTTACTCCGCCTGCGAAAATAACTGCAGCGCAGTTTGTCGTTCGTTTACGCAGGGATGTATCTCATCTGCGCAGGTACTTCGGAGGTCCTGCTCTGGATGCTCTGCTTGCAGTACTGCGTAAACGAATACACCCATTGCGAATCTAGCTTAATTATCTGCATCCACATTGATTAATTAAAATGTGAAAATAGATTTTATTAAAATAAAAAATCAAAAAGGGGTAGAACAACTCCTCGAAATCGATCCCGCAAAAGTAAAAGTAATCCAAGATAAGTATTATATAATGGAAAAATTTTTAAAGTTTACGATATTCGTATTTACAATCAAATTAACCTAAAAATGCACACGTATTAAATGTAGATTGAAAATCTAAACACATTATAAAATTCTAAACTGTCTGAATTTTCTATAAACAGATTTTGTAATGTTTTGGGATTTGTTTTTGTAAATTTATCTCAGGTACAGGTTCTGCTGCAATAGTTCCTAACCATGTAATGATTTCGTCTACAGCTGATATAGAAAAAGGATCAGAGAACTCTCAATTTAAGAATGTTTTGATCCCGTCTTCATTATTTTCGCAAAATTTTGTATAGACACAACGTAATGCAACTTCGCCAATGCTTTTAAATCCATTCACGCAGCCATTCACGCAGGTGTGCGTTCGGTAAATTAGATAACGTGACTAGCAGATGATAAACGCAGTGGATGCGCTAACCGCTGCATAAACGAATGCACCCATGATGATGCAGGAGCTCGCTCTTAATGCCATCACTCAGTGCCATCTATTGATTAGCTAAAGCAACATTATGAATCCATTGATGGTAAGTGTACCGACTGCACTAGTTGGTTTCCATAATGTTGTAGATGGCACTGTTTTGAGCGAACTCCTATATCATCATGTGTTCCTGTACTCCCGTTAATTTCTTGAAATTCCAGCTAAAATGAAGCATCTCTGGTCGTTCCAGCGGGTAGTTTGAATTTTCGACATGCTTATTTTCACTTCTCGGCTACTTTTGACAGTGTAAGAGTGCTCGTAAAATACTTAAATAATTAGAACGTCTCTTTTAAAGTTTTTGGAAAGCTTTTTGTTGCAAAATTCAAATGTCAATTGTTAAAGAAATTAAAAAACAACAATCTTTTTAAAGACATTTTTAGGATGTCCTAAGGATGTCTCGTTTAGAACGTTTTTACGACGCCCTAATTAAAATAAATTCTTCCGTTCGAAGCTAGCCGAAACGCGGGGCTCACATGTACGTGGCTTGCGCATGTGTGCGGCGTTCCCTCCCTCACACTGCTTGCCGCTTGCGTCTCAAATCTGGCGTCATCGATCACTGAGTGGCGGAAGGCATGGTGTGAAGTATTTATGTAACTTCACTCCGATGAGGCGAATAACAGCTCGCTGTTAACAACGGATTGGTTAGGTAAGCGATATCACAACGTGTCGTTATCGTTTACGTATATCATTAGTGAAATCACACAATTATTTGCACAGATCAAGCATTGTGGGTCAAAATTGTGAAGTTATCGCGGGCCGCTAAGTTAGGATCCCGAAGATGGGCTCCGGCCAGAGTGCCCGTAAGTTGACCATCTCGAATGAAGAAGAGATCGGGGTAATCAAAGTGTCCAACGCGATTGTGCAGCGTCTTGCTCAGAGCGAGAGATCGGGAATCGGCGAATCCTCCTCTGACAGACCCAGTACGCCGCTGCAACGTCCACCACCTCCTGCTGCAACGATAGCTCAAACTGCTGACACGACATCCGGACAGCCGGCGTATTATTATCCTGAAATAACAATATCCGCTCTACAAATGCAGCAACAAAAGGAGAACGAGCTGAGGCAACAAGAGGAATACTGGCAGAGGCGCTTGCAGAATCTGGAGGATGGTTATCAAAATGTCACTCGCGTCCTAGAAAATGAATATAAGAAGGCTATTAGTGAAACTTCTGTTCCTAAGGCTGGTAAGTTTGAATATTGATTTTTTATACTCTATATTTAAAGCTCTTATTTGTTGTGAACATAGTTTTATTGATATTGAGAATGTATTCTTGCTTTAGCATTTGCTATTTGAGACATTTAACAATGTGTGGAAAGTTAATTTCATATATAATTCATAAGTAAAATGTTTTACCACAGTAATTAATGAAATCAACAAGTTACATTGATTTTAATGTATCAAATAACACAATGTCTTCAATATTATATGATTAGATAAAAATTTAAATTTATATAAATGTAAATATATCCTTACAGGACAACCTGCCGACATTCAAGGTATAATGCAACCGTGTCTGGAGAGTAGTAGTAAACTTGTAAAATGTTACCAGGACCATCCCAAGCAAACTCTGAAATGTTCGAATTTGGTAGAAGAATTTTCAAATTGTGTCTGGAATGTGCAGTATACACGTGTGATTGAAACGCGTTCGTAATGCTTTATTTACAGCATTTTCACACGAAGGACATTTAGTTGATAAATAAAAAATTAAATGATAAGGTGTAATGCCTAAAGTGCTTATTTTAATCTCAACAAAATATTGTTGATAAAAGGTAGTATAAAACGAAGAGAGTACAGCGCAGAAAAATGTAAAAAATAAATTATTTAAGGGAAATATATTGCAGTTTATAATAAAATGTTAACTGTTATACAAAGTAAATATTGTTAGACGTCAATGCCATATTTTTTTTCTTTCAAATGTTTTGCTAATGTTCATCCAGAACTGAAGTAAGAGAATTGATCTTTATGATTTTTTTTTTCAGTGAGATAACATTTTTATAATTATGCAGAAAATGAATACTATGAAAGGTATATATATATATAACCTGAACAACTCACTTAGAGGTTCCCAGTACAATTCTATTTATAGATCAAAATATATACAGCATAGTCTCTCCGGTGCACGACCCAAATAAAGGCCAATAACAATATAGCATTATAGAAAGTATACTTATAATAATTCCATAAGATTAGTAAATATATAAAATAAGAGAATGCAATCTTGCAAATGTGCAGGATTGGAAGTACATTTGAGATATATCGTCTAAGGTATGTAAAATATTCTACACTATTAATACTCTTGCCAAACGTATATAGCATGCAATAAGTGATAGTAACAAATGGAATCATTTTTTAATGCAGTATAGTGATTATAATTGATGATGCATCTGTCAGCAAAATTTGTACCACTTTAAGTTCCCCCAAAAAAATTATAAAACAACCGTAAAAACTTAGAGTCAATAATTTTAATTAACTTAAGCGCAACAATCACAAATCGCAAAATGTAGGTTTTGTACACAGAGTCTGTGCACAAAATTATAAAAAGAATGTATAGTATATTAGGGGGCATATTATAATAATAATATCTATATACAATCTTTCAACGAAACATATAAATAAGTTTTAACATGACTTGCGAAATGTGTGTGTCCTGTTTAAATTATGTAACACAAAACTCAATATATAATATAACTAAATTTCAGAATTTATGAGAAAATCGTGATTACAAAGTTAAAGAACGGAAAAAAGGACACCAGAGAAAATCAAAGAAGTGTTTAATCACTTTTCTTATCACCACTCGATTGCTTCGATTCAAGTTTCGAGTGTTCGCTGTTCAAACGATCATATTCTTTCGCAAGTGAGTCTGCCTGCGACTTTATTGCTTGTTTATCCTTTTTTTCTTTAGTCAAAATATTCTCAAGTTCCAGATTCTTAGCTTGCAAATCCTTGATCTGATTTTTCAGTTCCGAGACAGCTTTATCATGCGCTTCGTTAGAATCATTTTGCGCACTTTCCCCAATCGTTCTCTGGGACAATAAGCTCCTGGCTGTGGTTGTCGCAGATTGAGCCTGTCGCATGGCTGCTTCGTTCTGCGCAAGCAAGGTGGCTTGGCTGGATATCAAGATGACAAGACGGCGTATTACAAGACTCAGAAATAATGCGAAACCAGATATATAGAAATTTCTCTGTGCGCGAAACAATCGCATGTTTTCTGAAAAGACATTAATACAGATAAGAAGACAAAGATAAGAAAACTGCAATTAACAACAGGAATGTAAGGTTAATTGACGTGCATAGAATGCAGAAGATAGTTTTTAATGTGAAATAACTTACCTTGCATTTCAAGATTCAACTGATGATGGTGATCAGAGTGATCTGTGCTTCCAGAATACTTTCGCATTTCTCTTATAGCATCCAACAGGAAGAGAACCAAGACGCCCAGCAGAACCACAAAGTAAATGGAAGCTTGGCTACTTATAGCTTGCAAGAAGCGAGATTTGAAGAGCTTCTGCCATCTCATCGGGGAAGCTATTGGTAACACTAGAAAGAGGACTATCGCAACCTCGATGTAGAGGAATCCAGCGATGAGCGTCCACTGAAGACTCATGTTTATTTCTTATTTCGTCTCTGGTGCAGATATCTGAAAATGATAAGTAGAATACACAATTAATAGCTTTTAAACTTCGACAAGTACGCAGAGAACTGCGTACTTGTCGAAGTTTTTTAGTTTTATTACGCTTTCTCCCGAGCGAGTGCACAGTGCATGCTATTTGTGTCCACAGAACACTTTCGACGGAATGCCGTTGAGAAAAACACTTGTATTAAAAAATGTTGACTCATATCTTGTATTTCTCGTAAATATATGCAAGTCAGCAACGAGGAATAAAAAAGTAACACGCGATTGCGGACGAATCAATTGCATGGCGCCGTCATTTTTATGAAACACGAAAATGCATGGAAATTTAATTAATTCACTCAACGGACTTTATCCATCTTTATCAGTCAAGATCTATCCGACATGCGTCAACACGTATCGACTGTCAAATTTTGGACACGTATACCGGAGACGATTCGCTTGCGGAAATAAATAACGGTGTTTTCTGTTCACAAAACGAACCGCGATGATCCGCGGGTGGCCGACTTTCAATCGAGCTGACAGATTTTCCAGAACAATACAGAATCAAAGATCTCTTCGATCGCATCTATCGGAAACGATCCAACGGCAGCGGACGTATCTTCGACACCGATAATCCGCAGATATACGCTGTCCCATTCGCGGACGACCGGCGAACTCGGTTCGTCGTGTCAAGCGACTATTAATAGATTTACGTACTTTTCTTAAAGCTGGAATACGCCGACGGCCCGCAGTTCCCGCAGCACGCAGGTGTGTACGAATAAGTTCAAAGTACGAGTCGGCCTGCGAGGAACGTTGCAAATTTATAAATAAACTGTGCGTGACATCATCGTGCTACTCCTCGTGAAGTGCATGCTTTTTTCTCCGTTTTCTCTCCTCTTCTCTCTCTCTCTCTCTCTTTCTTTTGTTAATTCCCTCCGAAAGATGTGGCTTTTGCACATAGGATGTCGGACGTGTATTGCACTTCGAACGACGCACGCGACAGCCAATCATCTTTCATTACGTTTCGCGAGAAACAGAGTTGATTGGCCGCTGAGGATATCATTTCTCTAGTGACAAAAAGAAATGCCCTAACAAGGCAACTATCTCTCTCACTTGTGAAAATTCAGCTCTTTTCGAGAGGACGCTCGGTCCGTCTGCAATGCTGTCGATTGATGCTCAACATTGCGCGGGAAATTGAGCGATTACGCACATATGTGCTCCATCTTTTTCAAACTTCGAAGAGTTCCGAGGAGTCGGGAATAAAGGATTACAGCCTCTGTCAGCGATGTCGAGTCCCATGAGACCGCCGAGGACTCCCGTCCCGCAGGACGACAATGCCTCGACGAACGGCACACCGAGGCGACAACCTCGCACGCCGCCCTCCAGAGCTGCCTCGATCGTCGGGACGCCCAGCACCGTCGGATCCGCGTCCACCAGACAAGGTACGAAAAGCACTGCCTGTTTCCGTTGAGAAAGAACGTGCATCGCGCACTCGAACTGCAGCACCTTGCTTTATGTCACGTGTCAGGCACGCCGCAGAGGAGGACAGGCAACAATCCAGTGGACACTCCGCTACGATGGGGCGGCCGTCGCACCCACGAAACCATCGCACCCTCGTCGGAGGATCTCTCCTCCGTGCCGATATCTTCGCCGACGATAGCCGTGCAGACGAGTCCTCTCGCCGCAGGCATGAGCGAGATAGAGCTGTCGTCTCCGTTGAATTACGGAACTCCCAGCTCTCTGGCATCAGTGCGCACCCCGCGCAGCGGTATTCGGGGTACACCCGTTCGACAGAGGCCGGACGTCCAGTCTGACAGGCGTATGCGACAAGTCAACTTGGCCGAGCCAGTGAGTTCGAAAGCGTCGTGTCCTTTCACTCGCAGCGTTGAGGAGATTGTTAACGTACAGGTGTTTGTTTTAGATACCGGAGGAGCCCAACGGTCAGAGAACATCAGAGAGCGAGAGCGGTCCGCAGCTAGTAATCTGGGGCACAAATGTGGTGGTGGATCAATGTAAGAAGCAATTCAAGCGATTTATTCTGCGCTTTATCGATCCGGAAGCAGAGAATGATGAGCTGCCGGAGAACATGAATCTGTCGGATCCGCTTTACCTGCAAAAGCTCGAGGAGATACATACGCTGGAAGAACCTTACTTGAACGTGAACTGCGCCCACCTCGAGGCGTTCGACGAACAACTTTTCCACCGATTAGTCTGCTATCCGCAAGAAGTGATACCGGCTTTCGACATGACCGCAAACGAAATGTTCTTTGAGAAGTATCCAGCCGCAGTATTGGACCATCAGATTCAAGTGCGACCGTTCAACGTTACGAGAACGAGAAGTATGCGTCTGCTGAATCCGGAGGACATTGATCAGCTGATCACGATCAACGGAATGGTCATCAGATCGTCGAACATTATACCGGAGATGCGCGAGGCCTTCTTCAAGTGCATCGTGTGCTCCTTCACGGCGACCGTGGAGATCGACAGAGGTCACATAGCCGAGCCGACGGTGTGCACGCACTGCAACAACAATTACTGCTTCAACTTGATACACAACCGCAGCCACTTCTCCGACAAGCAAATAATCAAGCTGCAAGAATCGCCGGACGACATGCCGGCGGGTCAAACTCCGCACACGGTGCTGCTCTTTGCGCATAATAATTTAGTCGACGCCGTCTCACCGGGTGACAGGGTCTCCGTCACCGGCATATATCGCGCCTTGCCGATGCGCGTGAATCCACGAATGTCGAATGTACGAGCGATCTACAAAACGCACGTCGACGTCGTCCATTTCAGAAAACAAGATTCCAAACGGTAAGATGCATTCCCGACTATTTCTGCTTCACATACTTTAATGTTACATTCAAGTGTTATATAATTTTTTAGATTTTGTGTATAAATTTCACCGTGAAACATTAATGTGACATTACGACTTTTGGTTTGTCGCATAGATTGTACGAGCAAGAGGAGGGCAAAGACCATGTGTTTCCACCAGAGAGAGTGGAGCTGTTGAAGCTGTTGTCGCAGAAGGAAGACGTGTACGAACGATTGGCGCGACACATCGCGCCCAGCATTTACGAGAACGAGGACGTCAAGAAGGGAATATTACTGCAATTGTTGGGTGGCACTAAGAAAGAACAAAGCAAATCGAGTAAGAAACACTTCCGGTCCGAAATTAATATACTCTTGTGCGGAGATCCGGGAACGAGCAAGTCACAATTGCTCCAATTTGTTTTCAATCTGGTGCCGCGCTCGCAGTACAGCAGCGGAAAAGGTATGTAGCTTGCGAATTTGAAATTTTGCACAGTTTCCGTTGGCGCTTTACATTTGTAATCCTCCATTTCAGGTTCCAGCGCCGTCGGCTTAACCGCTTTCGTCACAAAGGATCCGGAAACTCGACAATTAGTGCTGCAAACCGGCGCCTTGGTGCTCGCCGACAACGGTATCTGTTGCATCGACGAGTTCGACAAAATGAACGACAGCACGCGCTCCGTGCTGCACGAAGTTATGGAGCAGCAGACGCTGAGTATCGCGAAAGCGGGCATCATTTGTCAGCTGAACGCGAGGACCAGTATTCTAGCAGCGGCGAATCCTTCCGAGTCGCAGTGGAATAAAAATAAGACGGTAAGCGCTAGAAATAATTAATGATCCACAAAATCTGTAACGTCAAACCATCGAAAAACCGCGGTAACAAGTATTTTTTTCTCGCTTCCAGGTGATAGAAAACGTCATGCTGCCGCACACATTGATGTCACGTTTCGACTTAATATTCCTCATGCTGGATCCTCAGGACGAGTTGTTCGACAGGAAGCTCGCCAGACACCTGGTGTCGCTGTATTACAAATCGGATCTCGAGGAAGAAGACGATATAGTGGACATGAGCATCCTGCGCGACTACATAGCTTACGCAAAGGAGCACGTTCGTCCTGCTCTCAACGAGGAGAGCCAGCAGAGGCTGATCCAGGCTTACGTCGATATGCGTAGAGTGGGAAGCGGCTACGGACAAATCTCGGCCTATCCGAGGCAGCTGGAGTCGTTGATAAGACTCTCCGAATCGCACGCCAAGATGCGGTTCAGCAATGTGGTGGAAATCGTGGACGTCGAAGAAGCTTGGAGGTGAGATTATTCAAGAATTCCTTTCTCGATAATAAAATTCCCGAGCTCAACGCGTTGAAACCTTCGTGCATTCGTCCAGGTTGCACCGGGAGGCCCTGAAGCAATCCGCCATCGATCCGCTGAGCGGCAAAATCGACATCAGTATCTTAACGACCGGTATGTCGTTGGCGGCGAGGAAACGCAGGCAGGAACTGGTCGAAGCGCTGAAGAAGCTCATTAAGGAGAAAGATAAAGCGCCGACGCTGAATTACCAGAAGATTTTCACGGAACTGAAAGAATCATCCAATGTGGTGGGTTTATTCAGTCAACATTGTTTATATAATTTATTGATTTATGAGTTTGCTTTCAATGCCTTACGCGAGGCACACTTGCTTTAATCCTGTTCTACTTTCAGCTGGTGACACGCGAAATGTTTGAAGACGCTCTGAGAGAGCTGCAAGATAACGGTGTGGTGATTGTGACTGGCAAAAATGCCATTCGTGTGTGTTAGAACTGTTTCGAATGACGTTCCTTAGGATACTCCTAGGCTAAAGGTATCACGCAAAGATAAATTAACAATTCGGTTTGGTTCTGTGAATCTTGCGAGAGGGTTGACACTGATTGCAAACATATTTTTTATAAACTCATCACTTGTAAAGCGTTACAAATGAGCTGAACGGAAAAATTGCAATTTGCGCAAATTGCAATCTTTGCGTTCAGTAAAACAAACAATATGTGAAGTATTTTTGTAATACAATGCTTCTTTTTGGGTCTTTTTACTGCGTGACTTTTGAATTCACTTTGATAAATGCAAAAAAATTATTTTATATTCGTCGCAACGGGAGTTTTAATTAGCAGCGATATCAAAATTATTTATATACATAGGTCATTAAAAAAGTTCTCGGAATGGAAAAACGACATGTCTTTTTAAAATGATTTTTATTTTCTTCTCGAGTGTTATTTCTATATTTCAATTCTTTTAGTGTCTCAGAAAATCGATACCATTACTTTTATAGCTGATAAAACGAGCTTGGCTTTCTTTGTGAGAATTTATATGTGTTCCATTGTTTTAATTTTTGTTTTGCTTCTAACGTATAGTGGCGGACTCAAGTTTTATTTGTAATTACAAATCGACGCACAAAATCGGTTGTATTCTTTTTTAACAGCCCGATCGTTCTTGAGAAATTTGCGTTTAAATGGATTTTTCATTAATTAGCAAATGCAGCATTCATCGTGCAGAAAGCATTTTCATTCATAATTCATCGGTTAAAATATGAAACGCATTTTATCTAAAATGACTGTTGCGATTTCAGAAATGTTTATTCCACGTTTCTTTCAAATCTACATTCATGCCATTTCATTCCGAGAACTTCAGATGACATACTAAATATTAAAAGGACATGTAGGATTGTATATTAAAGGGACATGTTGTTTTGTATTTTCGCAGTTTTATATATATATACACATACACAGAAAATTCTATTGATGTGTCTTAATATATCTATTTTTGAACAGTCCTTGTGCCACGCCACTCCCGTCATCAATGATGCTTTCCTCAATTACGCTAATTTATATACATCAACTTCTGCCAGCATTTCAGATAATTGCACCGAAATACCGTCGCCAAATCGTCGTCGACGATTTGAAACGACCTATAACTGATCTGTATGTGTGCTCCACGCCTACGTCTCGTGCGCGGGCGTCGGAATGGAGGCGTCGTACTACGTAGCTTTGCTCTTGCAATGACCTTGGAAACTCCCACGCTGCTCCCCGGCGCTGGGGGTGTTTTCGGTGGGGACATTCGTTCATCGACGTATCACCCACCGGGCAATTTTCGCCCCCTCCGCCCGTCCACACCGCTCGCTTACGCGAAAGGCACCGATGCCCGGAGAATCGAGGTACCTTCGAATTATGCGTGTCCGGGGAATCGAATTAATGTTTGATGAAATTCAACGAGGAAATCACTCCTTTCCTGGAAAGCTTTCCGGTTATGAACCTTTTATCAGTAATGCGAGACACGTTAAACATTTGTGCGAAAATTTATTATTGAAGGTAATGAAAGTGCCATTGAAAGTTTAATGAAAAGAAATGTATAATAAACAGTTGATTTATATCAACTGTTTATTTATACAGATTGAATGTTTCAGATTTTACGCATCGCGATACGTATAAGTCTTCGAATCTATCGAGCCATCTGCTTTAAGAATTCTCTCTCGTTACTTTCTACTCTAGCAAATTTAAGCCAATTTCGCTCAATTTTGATTTTGTTATCGTCCAAGATTAACTTCCGCGATGCAAACTCGCTTTTTCTTTATGCATCCCAGATCGTAGCCTTAAGTGAAATCGGCTGCCGGGGAAGTTTTAACAAGCAGAAATTTTGTAACATTAGTGCCTGTTAAATTAATTTATTGAACAAAGAATGGAAATTGGAAATCTACAGTTCGCAGAATTCCAAAATTTTCCATCGTATTCCCAACGGAATTATCATTTCTTTGTCACCTTCGTACTTGGATTCTAAAATCGCGAATCTTATAGTGCGCTCTCAATTTGAAAACACTCGGCAGATCTAAATTTAATCCGAGAGCACACGAGCTATCGATGTTGCGCAAGCATTCGATCGCGATTGTTGCACTCGGCAATAACTGTTTTACGCCAGAAGCGTCTTCTTGCGTAAGCGAAGGGTGTGCGATCCGCCCCCGTAGAATTCGCCTGCACACGTGCACTGTATACACATACACGCGTCATCATCTATGAACGGCCGCATAGCCGATACAATTGCGCGGGCGCATTTACGCGCTCACGTGTGCGCACAGCCGGCGAAGGGAGAAAGAGAATGAGATCGTAGTACAGAAGGGGATGAATCGAGAGAGAGGGAGAGCGAGAAGACGTACGGGAGCGCGAGAGAGAGAGAGAGAGAGGAGGGAGGAGAAGGAGAACGGGGGTGTCCTCGATCGTTAAAGCGCGAGACCTCCCCACCGCCCGATCTCTCACGCCCAAGTCGTCCATTCATA